AAGCCTGAGCCAGCTCAGATGAGCTAAAAATCACAGCATTTTCATCACAAAATACAACTTTCAAGTGTCTATTTTTGTATCTAATAATGTTAATAATATCTATATATTATGATGCATTTCATAAATTTATGTGCAGTGCTTAACCCTTTGTTTAAACCATGACGGTGACCTATATTTACTGTGTATAAATGTATCCAAAACAGTAATTTTATCGCTCAATAAAATAACTGTTGGGAGTTCGGATGGGAGGAATTTTATCACGAGGGCGTAGCCAAAGTGATAAATATGATGCGCATTCTAACAACATACAGTAATTTTATCAAGCGGTAAAATCACCGATTTGGATATATTATTTCAATTCTAACACAACATCAACAAATGAATGCTGCCGTACCTGATATTAAGCTAAATTGCGCCCGATTTGTTTCTGTACTTATTTTTAGTGCGTCACATTTTTAGTGGTTACGTCACATGTATAATAATTACGTCACATGTCTAAATATAGAACGTCAAACAGTGATTTTATAGCATAAAACACACTTTCGGTTCTTCTATGTTCAACAGGGAAAAATGCGGGTCATGTTAGAATATAGTATAACATGACTGTAATGAATGCGATTGTAGGTATGAAATAACTGTCTAATTTGTTTAAAATCTATTAAAATGGAAAAAAAAAGTGTAATAATAATAAAACAGGTAATTTCTAGTTTGTTTTCAATGTTTACTGTATAGATCAACTATTGAATGTATACATATTTGACAGGTCAATAAAATTGACAATAATATTGCAATTCTTATTTTAATATGTATCTGACAGGACTTTTCAAACACCATTACAGATACAATGGAAAGTGGAAATTTTTATTTATACATTCAATTAGGGCTGTCATTGATGGAAAATTTTGTATCGATATATCAAGAGACAATATAGACGATATATAGATATAGTTTGACAAAGATACAATGAAAAGCATTTAAATATGTGTTATAAATTGGGATCATGGTGTTATGCATGCTTGTGTTAGACATTACAAATACTACAAACTCACAGAAAGTTTTTTATCTCTATTTTTGTCACTGACATAAGAAAAACAGTTTTAAGTTCAAGTTAGCCAATAAAACTGGAAAATGTGAATTCTCTTATTAGGCAAAATAGAGAGGTATAATTATAAACAAACAGAAATGAATAAATTTTAGTCTTGTTTCGATATTTTGATATTTAATGACAGCCCTACATTCAATGCAAGTCTTATAAGTGGCATATTGAGAATGTGTTTCCTGATAACATCATGGCTACCTGTTATTACCTCTTTATGAATTCTTGTTATTTTCCAAATTTTATGTAATGTTATATTTTTTTTTCCATGTTATGTACTGCCTTGAGTTTACATTCACAGTTTATTCACTTTAGAGTAACTGTTAGATATGTTACAATTTATTAATAAAATGAATATTTATGTTTGTTTTAATTTCTTTTTCACTATCCTGTTTCTTGTACATAGAAAACAGCACAGCCATTTAAAAAGTGCCACAAGTAAAGAACTTGATACAGGAATGGTCTTTTCATTGCTTTTACAAATGATCCGGTAAAGTATCATATACATTAAGCTAGATAAAAAGGAATAAGAACTTAAATACTATGAACTGGTAGCAATTTATCTAATTTGTAAACCCAAATCAATCGCATTGATTACAAGATGCACAGGAAGCATATTATTGTTAATTGCGGTAATAAACGACTTGACAAAACATCTTAAAAAGCTCATAATAATTTTAATACATACCTGCTACTAGTGTTTTGTTGGCAACATGTGACACCAGAAAATTGTTTTTCTCATTAATGCATTGTAGCTTCATTCTTCCCAGGGGTATACCTATATGTAACTTGTAATACAAGTTACAACATATATTTGTAAATGAAATGAAGTGGCAAAAATTTCACGGAACACCGTTTTTTTTTCTTAAACATTTCAAAAACATTTGAAAGGACATTATAAAAATTTGTACATCTTCATACCTGTAGATATTGTTCTTAAAATTCCACGGAAAATAAAACTGTGCATTGCCTTTGTGAGCAATTAAGTTGATACATCTAAATACATTCTTGTATTTTCTGATATCAAAAATTTATATGAATATATTTGTTTTGGGGGAGTATTTTTCAAAAAGAATGCATTGCAAATGTTTAGGGGGATGGAAGGTAAATGTTTGATCAGTTGGGTATTTTTCTGGAAAGAGCTTTCCTAGCTTGTCAAAGGGGTACCTGTCCATTTGAGGGGATATGGTTTTAAAAGCTTGTCCATGGAGTATTTTTCAGGAAAGTTCTTTCCAATGGTTGTCTGAGGTGTACCTGTCCAGGGGGAGGGGGGTTTAAATGCTTGTCTGGGGGGGGGGGGGGGTATTTTTTTTTGGAAAAAAGTGCCTTTCAGGGGTTGTCCAAGGAGTACCTATCAAGGGCGTGCAGGTACATTATGCTTGTCCAGTGGGTTCTTTTTCAGGAAATAACTTCCATATATTGTCTAAGGGATGCATGTTCAGTCAGGTGCTTGAAATGCTTGTCCAGTGGTAACTGTGGGGCATGTTGGAAAATTCTTGTAAATAGCGGGTATTTTCATGAAAATGCCTTCCACAGGTTGTCCATGTACATGCCCTAAGGGGGGTGGGATGAAAATGTTGGAAAATGCTTATCCAGTGAAGCATTAGGAAAAGTGCCTCAATAGGTTGTCCAAGGTACGATTTTTTGGAAAAACCGGTATTTTATAAAAAAATCATAATTTTTCAATTAATGCCTTCTAATTTCGTACAACTTTCGCATAAAAATCTTTAATTGGGCAAATCTTATTTGTGCCGACGTAAGATGAAAGTATCTGACAACTAGTACACTTAAAAGTCAATAAACGGCCGCATAATTTACATAAGCAGCCCAGATGTAAAAGGTCATGCGCGACCAGTTTTGTCTATCAAATTGTGTGACACTTTACTTTCTATTTATTCCTTACAATTTTTTTTAAGTTTCTACTAAGAATATATACATAATTTATAATAATAATATATAATTATTACACCATCTTTACATCAAAACATATACCACGACAATGCGTATTGCAATATATTGCAATACGCTAGGCAAAATGGCAATATATTGCAATTACAGTTTTTGCCATATTGCTACACCCCTATTCCCATAGGTTTTTCCAAGGGGTACATGTCCAGGGGGTGTTTCAAAACACTTGTCCCAGGGGGTATTTTTTTAGGAAGTACTTTCCATAGGTTGTCCAAGGGGTACATAGTCCAGGGAGGGTGTTTCGAAACACTTGTCCAGGGGGTATTTGTTTAGGAAAAGTGCCTTCCATAGGTTGTCCAAGGGTTCATGTCCAGGGGGGTGTTTCGAAAACACTTGTCAAGGGGGGTATTTTTACAGGAAAAAGTGGCTTCCATAGGTTGTCCAAGGGTAACATGTCCAGGGGGGTGTTTTCGAAACACTTGTCCAGGGGGGTATTTTTTTAGGAAAAGTGCCTTCCATAGGTTGTCCAAGGGGTTCATGTCCAGGGGGGTGTTTCAAAACACTTGTCCAGGGGGGTATTTTTTAGGAAAAGTGCCTTCCATAGGTTGTCCAAAGGGTTCATGTCCAGGGGGGTGTTTCGAAACACTTGTCCAGGGGGGTATTTTACAGGAAAAGTGCCTTCCATAGCTTGTCCAGGGTAAATGTCCAGGGGGGTGTTTCTAAACACTTGTCCAGGGGGTATTTTTACAGGAAAAGTGCCTTCCATAGGTTGTCCAAGGGGTACATGTCCAGGGGGGGCGTGATTCGAAACACTTGTCCAGGGGGGTATTGTTTGAGGAAAAGTGCCTTCCATAGGTTGTCCAAGGGGTTCATGTCCAGGGGGGTGTTCTAAAACTTGTCCAGGGGGTATTTTTTACAGGAAAGTGCCTTCCAATAGGTTGTCCAGGGGGGGTGTTTCGAAACACTTGTCAGGTGGGTATTTTTAGGAAAAGTGCCTTCCATAGGTTGTCCAAGGGGTTCATGTCCAGGGGGTGTTCGAAACACTTGTCCAGGGGGGTATTTTTACAGGAAAATGTGCCTTCCATAGTTTTGTCCAAGGGGTACATGTCAGGCGGGGGTGTTTTTGAAACACTTGTCCAGGGGGTTTATTTTAGGGAAAAGTGCCTTCCATAGGTTGTCCAAGGGGTACATGTCCAGGGGGGTGTTTCGAAAACACTTGTCCAGGGGGGTATTTTACAGGAAAAGTGCCTTCTATAGGTTGTCCAAGGGGTACATGTCCAGGGGGGTGTTTCGAAACACTTGTCCAGGGGGGTAATTTTTTAGGAAAGTGCCTTCCATAGGTTGTCAAAAGGGGGTTTTTTTTCATGTCCACCGCGGGGGGTGTTTCAAAACACTTGTCCGGGGGGTATTTTTACAGGAAAAGTGCCTTCCATTAGGTTGTTCCAAGGGGTACATGTCCCAGGGGGGTTGTTTTTCGAAACACTTGTCCAGGGGGGTATTTTAGGAAAGTGCCTTCCATAGGTTGTCCAAGGGGTTCATGTCAGGGGGGGTGTTTCGAAACACTTGTCCAGGGGGGTATTTTTTACAGGAAAAGTGCCTTCCATAGGTTGTCCAAGGGGTATCCATCCAAAGGGGATGTTGGGAAAATTGTTGTCAAATAGGGTATTTTCCATGGCAATGAAGGGGTCAATGATAAGTGTGTCCAGGGGGGTATTTTGGGGTGAAAGTGCCTTCCATAGGGGGGGTGCGGATATTTTCTGGAATAGCCCAATGAGCTGAAAAAGAAATATGGACAGCAAAAGTTGCGTTTGACTATGAATTCTCTATTAGTTACATATCACATATTAAGTTCAACCGAATATCTTTAGATTAATAAGCATAGTCATACTGATTATGGATAAAACATTTTTATTTTTAGAGAAAAATTAAAAACTGGTTTCTCACGGATGAAACTTCCGGTCGAAAATTTAGCATATTTTACTTCATAGTTACATACCGAGAGCAAGGTAAAGTCTTCGGACACCAGTTTTGGCTTCAATCTTTTCAAGAATATCTGTCATTGCATTTTTCTCGTGCAATTTTGCATCTAATTTTTTTTTCCACCGAAGTTTTTTTTTTCACTGCTTCGCCCTCTTTCTTTTTCGAAAAAAAAGCTGGTCCTGGGAATTTTTTTGGGAAAAAATGATCGTGTAAATTGGGAAAACCCGCTGAAACCCGGGAAAAATTTTTTCAAAATTCAATACACAGCTTAAATTGAATCTATTTTTTTATCAATTTAAGTTGAAAAGGGATATTATTTTCAAGTTAAATTAGGGTTTTCTAGGGTACATAATCCACAATACGGAAATGAAAATCGTGAAAAAAATTAAAAAAGGACTTGCAAACCCTAAATTTACATGTAAAACAAAATGAGCAACCCCACCAAAAGTACAACAAGTTTTTTCTGCCAGTTGGAAAAAAAAGATTTTTTAAAAAAGTAAATTTCTTTGGGGAAGGAAAGGGGTTGGGAAAAGTGGTTTTGAGTATTTTCATTTTTTTAAAATCCGCCCTATTTTACATTTTAAATTGGGGAGGTATCAATGTATTTTTTTTTAAAAAAAAATTTTATGCAAAGCACTTTAAAAATGTGTTAAAATATTAATTAATTGATTTTTATGTGATAATTGAATTTATGTCTAAATGTGTAATATAAATCTGTGATGTGATTAAAAAGTAAGTCATATTTTTGAATTTCAAAGTACACTGTAATTAATTCATTGCATTGATAAATGTCATTATACCTACTTGCACACTTATTAATTAATTACTTCTTTAATTTTTTTTCATTATAAACATTTATATATGATTTAATTTAATTAGTGTGTTCTTATTACATTAATGGGAAACTGGGACAAAAGATTTAAGTTCCAGACAGTATACTCGGTTCCTATGATATCAAGGGTTCTATGATATCAAGGTATTTAAATTTTCTGCGACTGCTAGTAAAAGCAACACATGATGTAGCCTAATTAATTCGGCGTGAACGGTTTGACCCATTTTACAGACTTTTTTTTTTTCTTACTGTCAAACCGTTGGAAAAAAGACAGCGCCCGTCCAAAATTATCTCGGTGTCTCTTTGACAAGTCTAATTAGTTGGACTACACATGATGATGCTAATATTTGTAAAACTTGCACACTAGATTCATTTTCATCTGCCAATAAATTTAATTTGGTGAATAATGAATGTATTTGTAACAAGAAAACTTTTTTATAAAACCTTCATATTTGACTACCATTTTCCTTAATGGTTTTTACACAGTCAATTAAAATATGTTATAAATACATATACTGACATATAGTCTGTTCATATAGTTTTTATTTTATAGCAAGTTAACTGTTGGAAGTTTTTCACAACTTAACCTGAAAGTTTTGAACAATCTATCCTTCCATACTTGCTTTTTTTGGGATTACCTTGATACCGTAGTAACCTCCTCTGAAATTACCCAAAATGGCAGACATTGAAAATATTCTAAAAAATGTCATTTTATTGGTTCTTTTGAAATATTTTTTTGACAAACAGGTCTGGAAAAGGTTCAATTATAAGATGGAAGAAAAATCTCATTCATTTATGATATTTATATTTAAATATTTTCCGATAAACATTAAGTACCGTGATATCATAGAACCCCGGGCTACATGGAACATACATTTTGCATTAAGTGATATCAGAAAATAAAAATAACAATAAAAAAAACTTACCAAGTTTTCATTGTGGTCAATAATTATTATTATCATTATTACATGTATTATTATTATTACAGTTGCCTCAGAAAATTATGAGATTGATCAAAATCCATATTTTTGCTAGGTCACAACAAAAATTATAGTTTTACCTTCAATTTTTATGCCACCGCAATCTGCGATGCGGTGGCATATAGCGATTCACCTGTGTGTGTGTGTGTTTGTGTGTGTGTGTGTGTGTGTGTTATATAGATTATATAGTGAACTTAAAAAATCTTCTTGTGAAAAACTACTAGTCCAATTTCAACCAAACTTGGTAGGATTGTTCCTTGGGTGAAGGGCTTCCAAAGTTGTTCAAAGAATTTCATTCCATGCAGAAATCTGGTTGCCATGGCAACCAAAAGAAATTATAAGAATAAATTAAAAAAATCTTCTTGTAAAGACCCAAAAGGCCTAGAGCTTAGATATTTTGCATAAGGCATTGTCTGGTAGACCTCTAACAAGATTGTTCAAATTATAGCCCTGGGGTCAAAATTGGCCCCGCCCCGGGGGTCATTGATTTTCACTATGTACATATAGTAAAAACTTTAAATACCTTTTTGTAATAACCCAAAAGGCCTAGAGATTAGATATTTTGCATAAGGCATCATCTGGTAGACCCTTACCAAGATTGTTCAAATTATAGCCCTTGGGTCAAAATCGGCCCCGCCCCGGGGTCATAGATTTTCGCTATATGTACATATAGTAAAAACTTAAAACACCTTCTTGTAAAGACCCAAAAGGTCTAGAGCTTAGATATTTTGCATAAGGTATTGTCTGGTAGACCTCTACCCAGATTGTTCAAATTATAGCCCTGGGGTGTAAATCGGCCCCGCCCCAGGGGTCATTGGTTTTCCTTATATGTATATAGTAAAAACTTAAAAAAATTCTTCTAGCAATTGACAAATGCTAGAGGTTAGATATCTTGCATGAAACATTGTGTTGTAAACCTCTAGCAAGATTGTTCAAATTATAGCCCTGGGGTCAAAATTGCCCCGCCCTGGGGGTCATTGATTTCAATATATACATATAGTAAAAAATAAAAAAATCCAATTGTCTGAAGGTACAAGGCTTAGAGCTTTAATATTTGTTAAATAATATCATCTAAAGGTACTCTACCAAAGTTGTTCAAATTTTGCCTCTTGTGTCAAAATTAGCCCCGCCCCTGGGAGCCATAGGTTTATCTTATATGTATATAGTTAAAACTTAAAAAATCATCTTCTCTAAATTTACAAAGGATAGAGTTAAGATATTTTGCATGAAACATTGTGTAGTGAACCTCTAGCAAGATTGTTCAAATTATAGCCCTGGGGTCAAAATTGGTTCAGCCCCGGGGGTCATTGATTTTCATCATGTACATATAGTGAAAAAAAATTATATTTTTGTCAGAACGTTCAAGACATAGAGCTTTGATATTTGATATATAATATCATCTATAGGTCCTCTACCAAAGTTGTTCAAATGTCAAAAATTGGCACTGTTCGGGGGGCAATGATACTCATTATGTACACATATTAAAAACAGAAAATAAAACAAATGTTTGATGAATGGGAGAAAGCTATAGCTTAGATATTTGACTTGAAATGTTGTTTGGTGGACCTGTATCAAGATTGTTATTAAACCCTTGGGTCAAAATTATGCCTTGCCCAAGGAGACAGTGACCTACTTTCTTGTCCTTTGATGTACAGCAATGAAATTTTGACCATGTGCACAGTTTTAGTTGTAAAATTGAACTTTGGTCTAGATTTTGATGATGTGACCTACTTTCTTGTCCTTTGATGCACAGCTATGAAATTTGAACCATGCGGTGGCATAGCATTTTTCTCAAATGCAATCTTGTTTAATTTAAAGGTCAAGTGTTACACAGTAGTTCTATTCAAAACTTCACTTTTATAACACAAAAATTAATTTTTCTACACAATTTAACAGGGTCTGGACTTTTTGAAAAGAATATAAATAGAATTATTTTTATACACAGATTTGAAATATTTTTTGCTGAAAACTTTGTTAATGAGTGTATGATGAAATAGGTCAACTTGTACTAGTACTAGACTAGCTATAATTAAATGTAAAGATTTTGTCTGGAGCATATATCAAAAATCTACACGTTGGGTTGATCCACAATAATTGTTCCCCATCATGAGATGTAGTTAGATTGCACATATGAACCGGTCTGAGTAGGAAATTGTTGTCCTGAGTGAAACTTCGACAACTGCATTGAGGAATTATTATATAACTTGGCACAAACATTCAACTTTGTGAGGCATTATGTTGTGCTCAAACTCACAGTGTCTAGATTGAGGTCCAAAGAGAAAATAATGAAAATATGAGAATGGACCATTGAGTCGTAATGAATTGAGAGATAATATGTGCAATTAAATGTGAATTTTGTGAAATTGCATGCTTGTTATATTTTGAGCTACAGGTATGAAATTTGATATCAGTTAATCTAGATTCTAACTATGTGCATCCTTTTCATTTGTAATTATTCAATATTAATTTCTTTATCCTTGACATTAAGAGCCTTAATAATACATGTTAGGGTCATTGTTTAACCAAATAATGATAACCTTTAGTTCTGAATTTTGTAATAATGTATAAGCTTGCTTCAGTGATACAGATTGTCCATAACTATTCCATTAAATCTTTATGTGTTTAAAAATCTGGTATCACACCCCAAATAAATTTCCCATGCAATAATTGATCCAGTGGTACAATCTTTACTATATTGCCAGTGGGGTGGCGCCATCCTGTTTATTATGGCAATTGGACCATCCTGCCTATAATCCCAAAGGGACTGTCCTTATTATAATCCTTATGGGGGTCATCCTTTAACCATAATGTAAATGGGAGCTATCCTAACTTTCATCCCAGTGGGGCCATCCTGTCTATTATCCCAATGGGATTGTCCTTATAATAATTAATCCTTACAGGGGCTCTTTAACCATAATCCAATGGGGGCTATCCTTACAGTTATCCTAATGGTGTCATCTTTACTATAATCCCAGTGTGGCCATCCTTACTATAAATCCCATGGACCATCCTTACTGGTAATTTCATTTGTGCCAATCCTTACTATAATCCAAGTGGGGCCATCCTTATAGTTATTATAATGGGCCATCCATCTTTTAATCCCAGCTGGGCCATCCTTACTATAATCCCAGTGGGGCCATCCTTACAGTTATTCTATTGGGGCCATCAATTTTATAATCCCAGATAGGCCATCCTTACTATAATCCCAGTTGTTACTTCCTGACTATAATCCCAGTGGGACCATCATTACAATATTCCCAGTGGAGCCTAATTATTCCTTACAGTTAATCTAATGGGACCATCCTTACTATAAATCCCACTTGGACCATCCTTACTATAATTCCATTTGGGCCATCCTTACTATAATCCCAGTGGGGCCATCCTTACAGTTATTCTAATGGGGCCATCCATTTTATAATCCCAATGAGGCCATCCTTACTATAATCCCAGTTGTTACTTCCTGACTATAATCCCAGTGGGACCATCCTTACAGTTAATCTAATGGGACCATCCTTGCTATAATCCCAGTGGGGCCATCCTTACTATAATCCCTGAGTGGGACCATCCTCGCAATTATTGTAATGGGACCATACTTATTATATAATCCCAGTGGGGCCATCCTTACTATAATCCCATTGGGGCCATCCTTGTGTCGTAGGGCGAATTATAAATTGAAATGAGTTATGTTTTTGAATTGATAAATATATTAAATAGATAAATAATTGAATAAATCATGCATGCTGTTTTTTATTTCCTATTCCCCTTATTATTACCATTGTCAAAACAGTCCTATAAACCTTTCCTGTATACCTATACAATAGCTGAATTATCCTTCCCAATCTATACTTTTTCTTTCTTCATAGCCTATTACATAACAATAAGTCGCTTTCTTTCTAACCTGTGACCCGTTTACATTGTACACGAATGCAATGCTTCATTGCATTCGCCATTAACTGTGTATTGTATACAGACTACCTTGTAAACTATCAAATAAATATTGTTTATATATCTTTGATATATCTTTATTTCACAGGTTAGTGATACATTTTTGTTGTGCATTTCACTCTAGTAATAAGTATAAGTAATTTGTATTAAACTCTATTCTTAATAAGTATTTTAAAGCTCAACTATGTAGAAGTAATCGTTCATGTTATCACTTCATATTTTGTATACATGAACTTTGTTTATATATTGATTCATTTGCATTCGCCATTAACTGTGTATTATGTACAGACGTACCTTGTAAACTATCAAATAAATATTGTTTATATATCTTTGATATATCTTTATTTCACTGTTACCAATCCCTTGCAAAGGACCCATGCTTGAGGCCATCCATTTAAAAAGATAGCGAGCCATCCTGCGGATAATTCCTAGTAGGGGCCATTTTACTTAATCTAAGAATCTTTCCTTTAAAATTATGTTTGCATCCATAAATAACCCTAAAAGGGGAACCCCTTTAACAGTTATGTCTAATGTAATTCCTGTACTATAATCCAGGGGGCCCATCCTAACTTTTTAACCCCTGAGTGGGACCATCCTTACAGTTATTCTAATGGGCCCATTCTTACAATAATCCCAGTGGAGCCGTCCTTACTATAATCCCAGAGTGGACCATCCTTACAGTTAATCTAATTAGGCCATCCTTAGTGGGGGCCATCCTTACTATAATCCTAGTAGGGGCCATTTTACTATAATCTCCAGAATAATACTTTAAATATGTTTGAAACAAAATAGACTAAAATGGAATCCCTAAAGTATGCTAAAAAAGTAAAATGTGCATGCTCAGTTTGATTTTGGGTAGTGGAAAGTGTAAGGTACAGTCCAGAGCACCAGTTTAAGAAGTATTCAACTTTGCACATGACATTGATGAAATTTGGATAAGGAAAACGATTTTGGACAAGACTTGTTTACCAAAAATTTTGTTCATGATAAGTAAAATGCTTTCCTGCATGAGTACGTTGGAATATGTCAAGATACCCCATGTAGAAATTTTCTGACCCGCTTTGGATCAGCCTTAAACCTTATGTTAAATAAGAAATGTTTTTATTGTTACAAGTTTACAATAAGTTGTTGGTATATATTTACTTTCAGCATTGGTGATTCAGTTTGTTAGTCACAGATTTACAGACTACCATGATCCTACTATAGGTAAACTAAATTCATTAAAATATGTTATGTTATGTTATGTTGTTATTATGTTATGTTATGGACACTAAAATATAGACCAATTTTTATGCTCCTGTCAGCCTGACATATTCCTTTCAATAATTTAGTCCCAGAAAGGTAAACAATACATTTCCTTTCATGTTAATACATGTATATTCTAGGAACATTTAATTATATGAGATCTCAATAAACTTATTTATATTAAGAACATTTCATCTTGTAAATGATTACTAACATATTGGTACATGGACATGAACATTTCATATCACATGTTGCTTTAAGAATATTTAAATGTATGAAAATATTGCACAAAAAACATTTCATGCTGTAACTGTAACAAACATGTTTAGAACATTACTTCTCAAAAATGTTAACATGTTTGCTTTAAAGAACATTTCATCTCACATGTGATAACATATTTTTATTCCTGAAATATTAAAAAATATAGAAGTTCAAATTTTATATCGCTTTAATATGGAAAAATTTGCATAAATACTTAATATGAAGATGAAGAACTCGGCTATTTTTGCTATTACTATCAACGTAACGTTGATTTTTGTATTACAGAAGATGCATATCAGCAGCAAGCCCGTATTGATGGAGAGCCGGCCCAGCTCGACATTCTTGACACGGCAGGCCAGGTATGTTCTATGACACGGATTTCAAATTTTTCAGTTGGTGTAATAGGCACTATATAACATTATCATTTTACAGCACAGTTATTAGACATTTATTTTCATTAGAAAATCATGGTGTTTCTCAATAAATAGCTGCTATACATAATTATGAAATAATTTTTATGAGCTTGTCTGTTTCAAAGAAAAAGTTGAGCTAATATGATCGCTACTGCATCATAGTTATCTTTATGTAGCCTATAAGTCAAACATTTTAAAAGTTATCAACATGAGAATTTGAATACTAGCTTGCTTAACATGACAAGATGCAGTTGTTAGACTTGTATAATTCTGAAAAAGATATTTTTGGAGTTATGTCCCTTTTGACTTAGAGTTTTTATACACCACATGCAGTGCTCTAGGGACTCCTCTGAGTTTTCTAAAATAACTTGACTGGAAATAGTTTTTTCTTATATGCAAAATTCAAGATATTTCTCTCACTCCTTTTTTCCCAGAAAATCATTTCAGTTGTGCATAATACAAATTTGAAAAGCGTTTAAGCGTTTAACGCTTTTAACTCAAATAAGGCTAATCATTGCACAAAAAAATTGATTTTCAATTTTATTATGAATATATTTCTTAATTTTTGGATTGCTAATTTTTCCTTTTTAAGTAGCCCAGTTGATCCATGTAATAATTTCAATTTTTTATAAGCCTTCAGACATTAGTGGAGCACCTTCATTGAAAAATGCAATAAGTACACTAGTACACTATAAGTTAAAACCAGTACTGAAAATGATACCTTAGATATATAGGTATAAACATTTCCTTTCCTTACACAGTTGGAGTTTACCACAATGCGAGAACAATATATGAGACATGGAGAAGGGTTCGTAATCTGTTATTCAATAACAGATAGGCGAAGTTTTGACGAGGTGCTAAATCACAAAAATTTGATTGATCGTGTGAGGTGCAAGGAAAATATCCCGATAATTATAACCGGTAATAAATGCGACCTTGAACATAAGAGAAAGGTGAGTTTAGTTTCAATTTTTATGTGCTACAAAATGAAGCAGTGTTCAATTGAGAATGAAGAAACAAATTTGTGATTGGATTTAAGTTAACATGCTCATCTCTATTTATATATTGTAACAAGTTCATGATGATTTTATCTTTTTATTTTGTCATGGTGCTTATTGAACGAAAGGATGAAAAACATTAAGACACAAAGTTGTCGTTGTTTGATGTATTTTTGATCTTTTTGCCTGACCTTTCTAAAAAAAAAAAAAAAAACCTGCGAATAATGACATCATATTCAATCAGACTTGTAAGATGAATAGTTTATTTTCTTTCATCTTGAAAAATTTCTGTGTATGCAGGAGGCAGACAATGTTGTTTGGGAATTGGAGCAAGGTTGATGTGAAACATCACAGCCTAGTATCAAGGTTGAATCCACAAGACCTATATACCGACTGGGCAAGTCATTGATGGTTTTAACAAACTTAGCCATGCTCGTTAGGTTGTCTAAATTTAATATAATGGAGAGATGCTGTTTAATGCAATTTCATACATATATGATACTACAAATGTAGCTGTAACAATTTTGTTTTCTTGTGTTTAATTAAATGCAGGTTAGTACAGAGGAAGGGGCTCGTTTAGCAGAACAGTTAGGAGCACCATTCTTTGAGACTTCGGCAGTGTCACGACAGTGTGTAGATGACACTTTTCATGGTATTGTACGAGAAATTAGAAGAAAAGAGCATGAAGAACTCTTATCACTTGAAAAACTGGCCAAAAAGAGACAACGAAAGAAAAGAATGCACGCATTCTTCAATCGCTTTAATTTCTTCCGTCGCAGATCCAACAGTCCATAAAGTAGGACAACTGTTAATTTTTGGAATGCTTATTTCTTATAAGTGCCAGGGACTTTCAACATGAAAGACCCAGAAATGCTTACTGTCCAACTGTGTGAAATAGATATATTTGATATTATATATTATGTCACATACGAAAATGAAAATATTTCGGGTTTAATTGAATGATCATTTTATATAGATGGACAAATAAAGAATTTTTTTTTTATATACACCAAATTCAATATTTGACATAATTCCAAGAAATGATTCAATTGATGTATAGAAGATCAAAGAGTTGTACGGACTTGTATCAAATATAAATGTACATAATACTCTAGAACAGTTAGATTTTAGTGTAAATCTGTCCCACTTAAAACAGTTGTGTGTATTTTTAGATATACATGTACAGATATTTTCGTTTTGATGATATAAATACAATGCATTCAAATTATCATTTATGGTTGTTCAGTTTGGTTGTTAACATTAATTTTAAACAGCACTGAGGGTAAAATCTTTAGCAAAGAGCAGAGTTTTGCTTTGAAGTAATTATTGAAAAATTATGAGTAAAATTTAAAGTTATTTGTGAACTTTTATGGGATCAAGTTAACTTATAAATGGTAAAGGATAGTAAATTACTTTTCTGCTTTTGAATCATGGTGACAGGCAACTTATATGTTCTTAATATTTGAGTATTGGTTTGGTCATCTAATCAGCAAGCTTATTTAAGATGGCATGTTGGCTTGTACCAGAGGTGCCACCTGTGCCAGTTCCCTCAACCCCATTCCCCACTTACCCCTGATAGAAGTGGGAAGATCCCTATTCGACCATTTCAATTTCAGCTTACCTGTTATGTATAATGGATTAGTCTAAGAAGGATTTCTTGGTGTTCTTTGCTAAAACAAGTCTCCCCACTCCCCACCCTCCCATTTTAATTAGTACTAGTAGTCTAGGAGAAAGTAATATAAATATATACAGAATCATGTTAATTTCATGATAATTTGTAAATCAATAGTTTGATTTGATTTTCCTGTACATATTTAATAACCAGGAAATCGCAGCTCTATGTATTTATGCATAATATGAAACATGTAAAAACAAAGAATTTTATTACAAATTTTCTTTTTTGCACTCTATATATTATAACATCTGCCAAATTCTTTATAAGCTTTGTTGCTGATTAAAGATATCGTGTAATAATATTATAATAATGTTGAATAATTCAGTACTTCTTTATGTCCTTGACAGAGTCTAAATATAAAATCAAAGAAAATATTTTTTACAATTACTATAACATATATATTTATATAGAATATTTATATAAAATATATTGAAGGTTTTGACCATTTGTCAGATATGAATTTTATTTAAGAAATCTTAAATTTTCATTTTGGTAATGTCAGCTTGTCAGTAAAAAGGTGGAGTAAGATTAAAACCATAGAAACACAAGTGCCAACAAAATTAAACAAATGGTAAGGCTAAGGTCTAGACATGCATGGGTTGCAATTGCCATGACTATTCCTAAAAATTAGGATTTTGCTACAACTAAAGCTCTTCTTTTTTTTCTACATAAAAACTAATGAAAAGCATGCTAAATTTACAGACTTTAGGTTTTGTTTGCCATTTTGAACTTCTACCCATATATCTGCCTTTTTACCAGAGAAAATTGGATTTGAGCTCTACTTGGTTCATTATCATGTGTCCTTAGATGATATCAGTATTTGTTTGTCCAGAAAGCAGACTTCTCTAAATATTGTAAATGGACTTGTTCATCTTTCAATCTGGATAAAAGCATTCATCATTTTTAGGGAAAATTTCAGAAAATGCAATAAATGAGTAACAAGCTGTACAGATCCTTTCAGATGGCACTGATGTACTGGCTAATGTTTGTCTGCACTTGTCACATGGGAAGAATCTATTGCCACCATTAGCCAAAGAGTTAATTTAATAAGCTTTCATCATAGCTCAATCTAACTTTACTTCAGATGTACTTAATTTTTTTTTTTTTTGGTAAATAAGGAGCTGATATGAATTAGATTGATCATAACTTGAGTTAAAATAGATACACTAACACATACCGTACAGATATTATAAATATTTGAAGGAAATGAATTTGTGTTCAATGTTGTTCACTGCTTCAAACATGCTTTCAGTGGTTGTTGATATTACATGTATATTGTATTATTTATTTCAAAGTGCATTATTTATTTTTTAGATTATTTTGTGTTAATTTATGTTTAAAATTCGTTGTGTTTTTTTATCTTAAATAAAAAAGTACCCTGGTAACAAAAATCTGGAATATGTCCTGTTATATGATTTTCTTTTGTTTATTTTATTTTTCAGACCAATTTTTACTTTTGAGAAAAATTAATTAGTTATTAATGATGAAAAATTAAATTTTCATTGAGTAAAATTAATGGTTCTCCAGGGCAGAAAGTATTGATACAATATCAACTGTTGTCATGTATATATTGAAAATAATTTATCACTTATTGATATTTACTCCAGATCAAAGTCATGAATATCATGTACATCAAAAATGCACGTCAGAATTAAACATTTAAAATTGTAATTATTTCACAGTATTTTTGGCCAGTTATATTTTTTGACTTAAAAAATGTCTGCCATATATCTCTAAGACATCTAAATTATAGTTTTAATCAATTTCATATCCTAACTATATGTAGTTAAACTGTTCAAAGTTAAAAAATAATCAAAGAAATGATGAAACATTCCTTGTACCAAGAAACATTTTTCTCGTAGGCAGAATATTAAAATTACTCAGTCCAATTTTCTAAAAAATATTTTTACAATGAAGTTTAGTAATTACTGTTTATCTTTGTGATATATTTCTTCAATTAACTGCAATATAAAAAAGCAATTTTGATATTATTTGTTGATTTTATCTTGAAATCACTTATAAAGTTGGTAGATTCTATTATTTTCTAGTCTTTTTTTTTTTTTACTTTTTTAATCATGTATTTTTATGTTAATTCACAATTATTTTCTTGTTTATGTACTGTTATTGTTTTAGATAGAATAAAGCTGTAGTAAAGAAGAATATTTGTTCAAGTTATTAATTGAAATGTCCAATTTACTCCTTAAAGCAGCTTGCTCACATATTCCTAATAATTGTGAAAGTGTATTTTTAAGTAAAATATTGTCAAGTGAACAAAGAAAGTAATTTACACACAATCCATGTAAATTTCCAAAAAGAGGTTAAACAAGCAAATTCGTTGAAGTTATATCCCTAGCCGAGTACTGGTTATTACTAACACAACAACTGAAGACATAAGGCTTTATTTATATATTTATCATGGCATAAACAGTAATATTCTTTGTACATAATAAATATTCAGGGCAATAACAGAGCCTTAATTAACTTGGTGTTAAATAGTAATATCTGGCCATGGCAATGAGATGTAAATTGCCTTTTTGTATCATTCTATGGTTACCATTAAGTTTTGTTGAAATCAATACAGCTGTTGCAAAGAAATAGCAATATTGCACTATATGCATACTACATAACTAATCAAGGACCATAACTCTGTAATGAAGGGTCAGGTCTGAACAAGGCAACAAATTATGCACATCTCATCTTGGTATTAATGGTTCCCATACAGTTTAATTGAATTCCAGCCAGTAGTTGCAGAGAAGTAGCGTGGAAACAATTATTGCTCTATCATGCATGTGCATTACTAAATTCAAAGGGCCATAACTCTTTAGTTAGTGTTGACCGGAAAAAAAGGCACATCTCCCTCTTGGTATTGAAACAAGGTTCCATAAAGTTTGCCCTATATGCATACTGCATAACTTATCAAGGGTCATAACTCCGAGTTAAAGTGACTGACCGGAACAACGATATGCGCATCTACTCTTGGTATTGAAGGTTCCCATTAAGTTTCGTTAAATTCCAGCCAGTAGTTGCAGAGAAGTAGGGCGGAAACAATTTTTGCTCTATATGCATACGGTATAACCAATCAAGGACCATTACTCTCTAGTTAAAGTGTCTGACCGGAACAAGGCGACGAAATGCGCATCTCCTCTTAATATTGAAAGTTTCCATAAAGTTTGGTTGAATTCCAGCCAGTAGTTGCAGAGAAGTAGCGTGGAAACGATTATTGCTCTATATGCATACGGTATAACTAATCAAGGACCATAACTCTGAGTTAAAGAGTCTGACCGGAACAAGGCAATGATGCGCATCTCTTCTTGGTATTGAAGACTAGTATAAACATGTAAAAGAAAATCGAATTAAAAGAAATGAATTAGCACATGTGACCGATATTCAGTATGAAGTGTTTAAACAAGCAGATAAAAATGTGGTTCAGGTACTTTTTAAGAGGCAACACCGATCATGAAGTTACACCGGTTACCCCATGCAGTACATGTATTTTGAATCGCATATTTTCTGGTTTCTGACTACTAGTTCAACAAATGTCTCAGATATCCTGAAAATCACGCTTTATAAATTTTTATGTATAACTGTGCTTAGTAACATCAAAGAAACACAGAAGTAGGCTTCAATAAGACAGCCAGTTCATCATACCTGCAAAGGATCTTTTAAAGCGACAAGAGGGCCATGATGGCCCTGAAATCGCTCACCTGTATGTAGGCCCCTGGGCCATCGCCAATTCTAAACCGGGGGCTTTTATTTGAAGAAACTTGTTAGACACTTATTAGAAGATGTTTCATGATAAATATCTAAGCTCCAGCTCTTTGGGTATTTATAAGAAGATTTAGGGAAAAACAATGACCCCCCCCTCCCCCCCCTCGGAGGGGCCAATTTTGACTCAGGGCTTTTATTTGAACAAACTTGGTTGACACTCACTAGTAGATACTTCATGCTTAGTATCTAATCTCTAGATCTTTGTGTTTTTATAAGAAGATTTGTTAAGTTTTTACTATACACATATAAGGAAAATCAATGACCCCCAGGACAGGGCTAATCTTAACCCCAAGGGCCCTTATTTGAACAAACTTGGTAGACACCCATTAAAAGATGTTTCATGTTAAATATTTTAGCTCTAGCATTTTGGGGTTTTTAAAAGAAGATTTTTTTAAGTTTTTACTATATACTTATATAAAGGGAAAAACAATGACCCCCTGGGGCAGGGCCAATTTTGACCCCGGGGCTTTTATTTGAACAAACTTGGTAGACAGTGACTAGATAAATATTTAAGCTTTAGCTCTTTCTGTTTTCTAACAGAAAATATTTTAAGTTTTTTCTTTCAGTTGCCATGATGGGAATGATTTAAGATTACTTAGCTATGAATAAAGAAAACAACAAATGAAATATATTCAAGATCTATTTTTGCAAAAAAAAGGTACAAAATTTTCACAATTTCACGAGACAATTGACAGGAAGAAAAGATGAAATAAATATGTAAATTTGTCCAATGCATAATTCTTGATAAAAAGAGAAAGTAAAATACACTGTAGACTTTCATGAATATTTTCTTCATCATAATGAAACCATAAATTACATAATTATGTGCCTAAACTTAATTTTGAATTGATAACACAAGTCCAACATTAAACTGCATATCAGTTAGAGAATTGCTTCACAAAAATAAAAAAAATTTCTGACATTTTTATCAAGTTATTATTTTACAAAGACACACGTATTTGTGGCGTTTTATTAAATAAATATTTATTTATAGAAAAAAAGCAACATAAGCACATTTGTTCATTCTCATGGAATTCAATTAAGCACATCTATAAATGGTGTTAGAATGACGAACACTTTGTATAAGTTATGCTAATTTAAAGTTCTAGAATCAATCCTCTGGGCCTGCAGGCTGTGCTTGGGGAGCTGCAGCACCACCTGCCGGGGCACTGAGTGCCTCCAATTGTTTCTTTGTTCCAGATACAATATCGTCAATACGTAACAATAAAATTGCAGTCTGAAATGCAAAACAGATACCAAAACTTATTGCAAGGCTCTTCATAAAGATATCAAAATTATTAAAAAGTTTTTAAAACCCTAAAAAATCACTGAGATCAACAGTAAATTGCACAAGAAGTATTATCCTATTATAGCATAAAAAGCTGTATAATTATAATATTATTACATATTCTGGTTCAAAGTAACCCAACATAAATAAATATCTAAAACTGGGAACTTAAATAATGAACTCTATCTTGGCAATCATACCCGTCCTTAACCCTAAGCTATTATATAATCTCCTGTTGAAATCACATTTTTTTTAAAATCTGAAATCTCAAAGCCTTATCAAATTTATTTAATCAAATAAGTTAACAATCATACTTTTTTCCATTCATGACTAAAGAGCTTCTAAAAAATCGCTCACACTTTACTACCTCAACACAAATCTTACCTCTATAGCAGTTTTGTATGTCTGGGCTTTAACAGAGTAAGCTTCCCAAACACCATAATCTTTCATGTCTACGATATTTCCATTTTCCCCATTAACACCCCATGATACACAGTCTGATTGAGCATGTTTAGCCTGAAATATGTTCATATTTATTATACCATAGAACAACTATACACTCGCCATCCAAATCTTAGAGCTTAAAATGTGCTTACGACAAAATCAAATATCTGAAGTACATTGGCTTAAAACTTCATACTGCACTAAGCTGGCAGGCCATATACTTACAAGATATATAAATATATAACACGGAAATTGTTTCTTATTTTTTTGATGATTATTATTATTTTATGATGAAATTTGTTGATCATCCTAAAAGAAACAGTCTTAACAAATCTTTGTTTTTTTTCCCCATTACTTTTTCATTATTATCAAAGATCAGCTTTATTAAATTAAATTAAAATCAGACTACAATTACTCAAGCAGACTTACTCTTAAAGCTGTAAGTGTTCTAATGGTACTGGCCCCACAATTCTGTATCAAGGTTCTTGGTATAACTTCGAGGGCACGAGCTACAGCACGGTATGGCCACTGATGTACTCCAGTGATACTTTTAGCCTTCTCATTCAATTCCTGAAACAATGTCGCAATATGTCATTTCGACATGATTCATAGTGATCTATGTTACTTATACAAAATGCCATTAGAAAAGATTTATATTAATTTTTTCATTAAAAAAAATTGCAAATCAATTATCGAAGACAGAAATCAAAAGCGTTTTTTCTAATGTACATTATTAGCATTGTTACATCCCATGAATGGCATCTCCTAGATAATTTTACTTCCTCTACCACCTAACAATGGTGCAATGCTAAATTTCTTAGTCTGTTGTGGCATGTCAGACAGCTAAGACCAACAAGCACTTAAATCCTAATACTCTTGGCCAATTAAGTCACAAAATAAAGTCAATTTTTCAGACAGGAGAGCAGATTATCATACCTGAGCTAGCGCCATTTCTGCGGCTCCTCCACCAGGAACAAGGTATGGGTCCTGCATGACATTTCTTGCCACGTTCATGGCATCTTGGAGATTCCTCTCTACTTCATTCAGGATGTCTTTACTGGCACCACGTAACAAGATCGTACATGCTTTTGGATTTTTACATTCAGTTAGAAATGTGAAATACCTAAGAAATAAAGAATATAATCTTAAAATATAAAGCATTAGGTCCTTTTCTTCTTTTCCAGCATAAAAAACTTACTAGTTTCTGTTACTAGAAAAGTAGGAGTAAACTATTATTTTCCCCACTCCAAAAAAAGTATTAAAATTCTTTGCTTTTTTAAAGTTTCAAGATTCTTTAGCCCTGGTCTTTCTTCATTTTTTTTGGGTCTATTATTCAGCTATGAACATATGTATAGGTAGCAAGCAAGGATAACAGGGAAAACTTATTTCTAGTATTAAAGTCTTATTGTATTAAAGCCTTATTATTTAGATGTTCATCAGTTGTGTAGCTAAAAAAAGTTCCAATTTGACAGGAGTACTGTTGATTTTACAAAGGTCAAATCATGTTCACATATTAAATACTTGTGAAAAATGATAGTAACCCTGTATTCCATTTATCAACATCTGCCAGGTATGAATCGACAGGTACCACTTTGCTAACATATTTCAACTACCCTTTTTATCAGTTGCACAACAATAATCTGTTTCATCATTTAAGTGGTTTAAAATCATTCTTTAATCTTCTTAATCAATGAGACAGCACCTGAACAGAACCTTGGACACTTTTTTAGACACGTAGGATAGCCTCCTCATAATAATCCAAGTCGCTGGTGGGATTCAAACCCACAGACATGAACAAGAGAACACAAGGGGTCACAAAGAAAGGAAAAGTTTAACACTCACTCGTCTCCGAACTTCTTCACTTCAAAAAGACCGCATTCTGTTCCAATATCATCCTCTCTTATTTCGTCTGTACGATTAACAACGGTTGCTCCACAAGCCCTTAAAACAATCACAAAATTGCTGTGTTCAACCATTCTTTTTTAAAAGGATATTTTTTACAGCTGTTCAGTATCAACAATATGATGTTGGTTACAAATGTAGCAAAAAAATAACCAAAAAAGTTACAAACCTATTATAGTTCTAATGTCAAGAAAAAAAGTTCATCTAAGGAACCAATTTTGCTTCTCTTAATTATGAGCTGTTTTCCTTCATTGAAAACATCAGTTCAAAGTGAATCAGAAGAAATTTCAAACTATCATTTCTTTTATTCAGTGAAAAACCTTTTTAAAAACTTTTTTACATTGCTATGCCTATTCCATTCATGTCCTTGACCAAAGTGAAATTTCAATTAGCCCATTTGTTTATGATGCAAAGTGAAATTACAATTAGCTTATTTATCAATACAACATAATTTATGTAAATGTTATAAAATCTTGATGTCAGTAACTGTTTATTTACCTGGCAATTCTGTTGTTATCAGACTTCCTCACTCGTCTTATACAGGTGATACCAGCCTTAATGAGATAGTGCTGAGCTAAGTCGGAAATTCCCTTCTCTGTGATGACAAGGTCAGGCTTCACAGATATTACTTCTTTACACATCTTCTCTATGAAGTCTTCCTCCATCCTCAAGATCTTACTACAAAATATGATTAAATGATTGGTTATAATTTAAATCGTAACAACTGCCTGAAACAATACCCTCAACAATACATATTGTGATAAAATGCTCATTATAAAATATTACATTAATGATATCTGCAGAAAGTAGGCAGAATGTTCAAACTTTTATCAAATCCATTCAACAATTCAGACATGGACTAGCACAATTCATACATTCTACTTTTGAAATTTGATTTTCCAATTAATTGAGCTTGCGGCTATATTAAAGATGTCACACAATAAAGAATAATATGCTGAAAGTTATATAGCATTTTGTTTGCTACAGAAAAGCATACTTACGAAAAATCTTCTTCCTTTGAAATTTCAATATTTGTCTGCAAATAAGAATTAAATAAGCACTGATGAAAAATGGGGCAAAAAAGGGAATCTTGAATACTCTACAAAAAACTTTTCTTCAAATGTGTAAAAACCAAAAAGCCCATGTAACAGTTATGAGATAAACAAACTTCATAATTTATATTTAGATAGATATATAGATTTCATTTTACATAACAGGGCTAGCATTTCACTTGTGCAAAAAAGAATTGTACTTACAAAAACAAAACCGAACTTGCATATTTTTTTTCAGATACCAATTTTGTATGAAATTGTATGGTGTCAAATGCTTGCACAGATACATATATACATCAATCTCAGTTAAAAGTCTTGTGAGAACAACAGTTTCTAGATGGGTAGTCAGGGATCAAACCTGCAACCCCTTTGTTGTCAGCCAGAGTAACAACCAGACTAAGCATCACCTCTCATTTGGTTGGAGATATGACACAAGTAATGATTCTACTTCACAAAATATCAACTATATAACTGTTTATTACCTGACTTTCTCCCTTCTTGTATTCTAAATTACAGTCAAGTAGAAGTATTCTAGGGTTCTCTAAACGTCTGAAATTTAGATCAATTAAAATTTTATGAAACAGGGTATTAGTTCCTATTATGAATACAATTAATGATGAACTTTTGACACTTTTTCTTCAAAAATACTATGCAGCCATCACAGCACAATACTCTTACAGTTGTTTCATGTTTGAATGAAGCTGAAATATTTATTATAAGTATGAGGGTAAATAAGTACCGGTCAAAAAGACATGTGAAAATAAATACAACTTAGTGATCCTTTAAATGTTGCAGGGGAATGAAGCCAACAAGCAAGCCATAAAGAAAGCCCTGCTCATGAGTCTAATGCCAGACAGCTACTTACACTTATTCAACTGAGATATTAAAATATATGGTAATCAAATCTGCAGTTAACTGTTGGTGAAATACATTTACCAGTGTTACTAATGAAATGATATTGCTAAAAAAACTCATAGAACATGTGAAGCAGGCTTTATCAAATCTAAGCACATTGCATCCAGATAATATGAATAAAATATTAATATATTAAGCATACCTCTTCATTTTTGGATGGACTACATCTTTGTTGATCATTACTCCCTTTAAAACTTCAGACTCCTCAATAGTTCCACCTGGGATCTGAAATATCAATTATATTGATGTCAGATAAAGACAGAAAAACAAAATTTCAAAGTGTCAAAGTAAACCTACAAGAATTTTGGAAAAATGTTCTCCAAAGTATTTAAGAAGTATTTAAGTATATTAAGTTTTTTTTCTTCTCATTTATAATTAACACCGTCACAATTTATTCATTAAAAACAAATTTTTGTTTGTTTGTTTGTTTCATTTTACGCCTTTTTCCAACAGTATTTCAGTCATAAAGGCGGGTAGTTTCCTAACCATCGTTCCTGGAGAGTTACACCAGTACTAGACTACCTTCCTCCGCATTAATTAATAGTGCATATAAATCGTATATATAATTATAAAAGTCACCTTCTCTACTTTAGCGTATCTTTTAATATCAATTTCTTTTCTACCATTTTCTTCAAGTGCTACAGTTTTGGTGGCTTCAAGGGCAATGTTGCATGCCAGATCTGACCTGAAACACAAGATATTTATATATCAAATTCTCTGAATTTTATCACTTGACATAATGTTAGGCCAAAATTAATATTTGACAATTCGATAACATAACTATACTTTAGTATGGAAAAAGAAGAAATTTTACTGAAGATTTTCACATCTCTTAAAGTAAAATAAGACACCAAAGGTATTAATCTACAGCTATGTAAAACTTCCTAGAACTAGTAGAAGCAGGATATTTAATGAATTTTTCAGTGATAAAATGAAGTCTCAATTACTGAAACATACATATTGAACACATACCATTTACTGATGAATTTTGTGCCAACAGAACTTTTTAAAATCTTCAGCATCTCATCCCTGTTACTGACATCAACATATGTGCTGAAAAAATAAAGACATTTTTAACAATTACCCTGCTGGAACTGAGTGACTAGCCTTTGCTACCAGTATTGAGCCAGGTTAACCTGCACTTCCATCCGGTCTGACCAGGCTCTATACTGTTGGCAGACATCTTCAAATTTTTATCTTGATATCACATAACTTGAGAAAGGAATGTTCCAAAAATAGAAATTGGACAATTTCTTTTTATACACTCATGCTCATTATGATTATTTGCGAGTGTTTACATACAAACAATTCTGTGTTACAACTCTTTTAAGAGGATAAACCTTAAGATTTTGGAAACCGCATCTAGCATAAATTCTATAAACCATATTTCATTAGATACAGTTTTATATTGATGCGTGAAAAATAGTTTGAAGTACAATTTAATCTATATATGATTCAATTTGATAATTTTAACTAGTGGGTACTGATTTGCAGGAAGATAGCGAAAGCATAATTTTATCCAGCTCTGCTATTCATGTCCTATAAAACATTTTCAACAATACATACCTAATTTTTTTCTTCAGTATTTCAAGAATATCTTCAAGGGCCAATCTAAATGCACTGATAATAACTGTTGGGTGCATCTGTTGTTCCAGAAATGGTCCAGCCACAGACAGCATCTCACCACCTGATTTATAAGATATGAATACAGAACAAAATACTTTAATATTTCCATTTCAAAAACAAGAAATCTAAGAACACTTTATCATTCACTAACCTTACCCAGCTAATGAGCAAATGTAAATGTTTCTTATCTCAATTTTATTTTTATATGAAAATCATTTTTTCTGAGAGAGAAACTTAAATTTTTTTTTTTAAAAACTTAAGCCATGACAACATATTGATTAACATGTTGATATTTTAATCATTTGAAAACAAAACTATCAAAATGTTAAATGACTAGTTTTCAAGAAATGTAGATCATAACATATGTTTTGGAAGAGACATTATTTAATTATGAAAAAATACTATACCTAGGATAATGACCGATGTAGTTCCATCCCCTACTTCCTCGTCCTGTGTACGGGCCACCTCAATAAATGACTTTGCAGCTGGGTGCTGTACATTGATCTGCAAAATAACTCATTATGAGAATTGCTGGAATAGGATCACATTTAATAAATGATTGTGATCTAAAAATTTGCATCCCAAAAATTTGCATTAACAAAAAGTTTTATCTACCTGGCTATACTATACTGTTTCAGCTATCAAAAATAATTTTTAAACCAAAGTTTGCTTTTTCTATTTTCATTACAAATTACAAAGACAAGAGCTGGTGGAACCGGGTGATGCTCCCCAACTAGGTTTTGGACACAGAAAAGTAAATTTTGTGTAGTTTCAGAGTTGTGTCCGAGACAAAGATCAAAGAGTGATAATTCCAAACTTAGGCAAGGCAGAGTTACTGTTCTTTGCACTGCACTTCTCAATGAAATCTATCTACCGACATGCACGCTACTCGTCATCTCAATTTGGATACCTTTTCTGTGAAATAGTTGTAAAATCCAGTTTCAAATAACGAAGTTATAGGCCAGACACAATTTTGCTGCAAGGTCATGCTGTGACCTTGACCTTTAAGGTAGCAACCCAAATGTTGCGGGCCACACAACGTCTTAATATAGTGATCATTTCTGTGAAATAGTTGTAAAATCCGACTTCAAATAACTAAGTTATGGGCCGGACTCAATTTGCTGCAGTCATGCTGTGACCTTGACCTTCAAGGAAGCGACCCAAATGTTGCGCGCCACACATTGTCTCAAGATGGTGAACATTTCTGTGACAAAGTTGTAAAATCCAGTTTCAAATAACGAAGTCATGGGCTGGACACGATTTTGCTGCAAGGTCATGCTGTGACCTTCAAGGTAGCAACCCAAATGTTGCATCCGAAATAGTTGTAAAATCTGACTTCAAATAACGAAGTTATGGGCCTGACACAAATTCGAGGCGAACGTCCGGACTAACGGACGTACTTACAAAATGGACTTGTGTGACTTTTCCTTTGATCTTTTCAGCCATTTTTAGACACACAAAAAGACACACAAGTAAAAAAAGGAATGAATAGGATCAAAGAGTATTTACTGTAAACCATTGTTTTTCAAGTCACACAAGTATCTCTGGGTTTGTATGGATAGACGGACAACCCAGCGACGATATGCTCCCCCGAATTTTTTCTTCTTGATTGCCAAATAGACAGAGGGCAAACCAAAACAAAATTTGCACATAACTTACCTCTCTCAAAATAGCATTTCCATCATTTGTCATCACAATGCCACCCATGGGATCCATCAACATCTTCAACATGGACCTTGGACCAAGACATGTTCTAATTACATCTGCTATTGCCTTTAATGAAAATCAAACAAAACATTAGCAATAATTTCCCCAATAATCAGGCAGCTGAGCAGTGTTCGACACTAACTGTTTTTACAAGGGATCCCATAGGAATTCCTGAGATTTAATTCAGGGATTCCTCCTAAATGTCAGGGATTCCTCAGATCAAAATAGTAAAATATGAGTCGAAGAATAACAAGGGAGTGCAGCAATCCAATTTCAAATTCTTTTTTTAAGACCACATAAAGGATATATTGCCTTGTTTCAGATGCAGAAAATGTAGTTTATAAGCCCTCTGGAAAAATTGCTGTTTAAAGTTTTAAAAGTGTTTCAAAGTGTTTACTAGTATATATATAATTCGACCGCAAAGATAAATTAAAACATAATACATTTGTTACATGCACGGAAACAGAATAACATTAAGCTCACTGAACAAGAGTTTGATTTGAAAATACAAATTTTGCTAAAACCTGTTTTCTCCCTGGAGTTGATAATTGTGAACCAGTTCTGTAAATGAAGGTATAATGCAAGTGACTGGGCAATGGAACTTAGGGTTTGAACTTTTGAAGTTAAGTTGGAACTGGGGAATCATTTTCCCAGATAGCCTAGGGTTCACTGAAATAGAGCCCACTTATCATCTGTAGATCTTTAAAAAAAATTACAGGTAATGATTAGGCTCCATATTCCAGAAAGTTCTGGTATGGATAACTTTTGGCATGTCATTTAAAAAGAAATGCTTAATTATGATCACTTTAAAAAAATAAGTGATATTCAGCTTACTGTACACTTTTTGTGTTTAAAAGGAAATATCCCATAGATTGTTGTAAATTAAATATTTTGATAATTTTCTACTAAAGCTAAAATATCAAGAAAAAAGTTTTGTTTGCATTACAAGTAGGGTACCATTTGATTTTTAAAAGTAAAAAGTTGCTCCAAATCCATGACAGGATGTGTAACATCCAAATTTATTGTTCTCAATTTTTACACTAAAATGTCCGATTCTTTTCCTCCCTGTGTGTATTGATTTTTTTAAGTTTTGACATCTGTCAAATCAAAGGCACTCACAGCATGCAGCAGTCATGTAGTTCAGAACACTGATTGGCTCAAAGAACTTTCAGATGAAATATACGTCATTTGGTGTATGTTTCACCAAAGGATTTTTCTTTCTTTTTGTCGGTAAATTATGTGTGACCTTGATTGACCTTAGAACACTTCAGACTTTAGTTTCACATATTTTTTAGCATTTAAGGCTGTAGAGTTTCAAAAAGGATTTTAAACTGAAAAGTATGGATTATTTTTATTATGTTTTTATTAGTTATACTTTTGCTGTACTGCAGTGAGAAAAAAAATACATCAGTAATCTTTTTTTTTTCACTAATTTTTACGAAAATTTACAATGATCACAAATGCCGAATTTTGGCGGAAAAAAAACAACAAACACTTGTTAACTTTGTAGCTACCGCCGGCAACGCCGATCAGCACATATTTGAAGTACACACCGCTTGTGTAATAATTATACGATAATTACTTTTTTGAATTTTCACAACTTAATATCATGAAGTCAATGCATGATATAAAATCATTCAAGAATGTTTCTTTAGCCAAAATATTTTTCATTATATATCGCAAATGAGTTGATAGCAGTCACTGCACAAAGGAAAACTGGCGTACATAATTCAAGAGACACAAAGGAAGTGTGAAACAGATTACTGGGATCCTATATATTACCGGACAAAATATGATGTTTTTTCGCTGTAACTTTTATTTTAAATAATAAAAAAGAATGAAATTTTACTCAAATAATTGTGACTTTTTAATATAAGTAAACATTCCTTTACCAAACATAAAATTAAACATTTGACTGTAGAAATGTGTCTTTAAAGTAGGGCATTAAAAGAGGGGAAAAATCGTGTAGACAACTCAATTTACCGGACATTGTTTTTCAAAATTTTTTGAAGTCTTAAAATGAAATTAAGCAAGGAAACTACGACTATTGAATGGCAAAATTGAGATACTGGAAAAAATAAGTATGTCACAGAAATAGACACGGCAGCCATGCTTGTTACGAAGAGGCCAATATAGGGGTGTAATTGAAATTAACACTATTAACTCAATTAACATATTGATTCTTCATGATCCTTAAACGTAAGAAACATTTTGATATTCAAATGGAATTCTGTTTTTTGTCATACAGTTTTGTCATCATGTAGCATGTTGCAAAAGCCATAAAATCTATTTTATTTATATACATGTAGAGTTTCCTCCCATGGGTGTAACCCGTTTCCTTATATGTTTTTTAATTTGCATTTCTTTGTAAAAGACAACAACAACGAGATGTTGTTTGAACGAAATTCAAAATTACTTTTTATCATTAAAATATGTTATGATTGTCTCCTGAGGTAACATTGAGAAGAATTAAAAGTAAAACCTATCTAAAATAACTCATTAAGGGCCTCATTATAGGGGATGCACAGGACAGATTATTCCCCCGCATTGCCAGGTCATGGAGTAACTAGTAAACAAAAGGGTATGTTAGTAAATAAAGAACTAAATCGACAATATTTACCTGAGAGTGGTTTTGTTGTTATTTACTAAAAGAAATAGAAAGTGTGTGTACGATTCAGACCGGATGATTTTTAATCGAAGCAAAAAATAAAGCCTTATTTGACAGGAATAGATTTTGTCCGGTAAACTGATTGTCCGGTAAACATGTAGGATCCCAGTATACACTTAATATATATCAAAGGTAGATAGAAAGATTCTTTTATTTCCTCCAATCATGAAGAGTAGTAGAGTTCACACACTTTATTAGAAAGAGTATTCATTTCACTTTAAACGAAATTAGTATAAAAAATATAAAAATGAAATAAAAAATAAAGAATTAACTTATTAATAACTTTGTGATATGAGCTTTTTTTTTGTAGAGCAAAACATCAATATATCTATTGTCTTTGGTCAATTACATGATAAAATAATAATAAAATATGTTAATAAAATATGTTAAAACAATAAACATACTTGATCACTATTGAATACATTAAACATTTTCTACATTAATAATTGTTTAATACAAAATAAACAAGAGCCATGTCAACATGGCCATCTCCCGATGAATGTGTTTGCTCATTGGAAGAATGTATATGTAGTACAGCAGAATAATTCCATTTAAAGAGGTCTTTTGGTAATGAAAACTGATGGCTATAGTGATTACAGATTTGAAACCTATGTCATTACTGATGGCTGAAAATAACAAAGGGCAATAACTGAAAAATAATGCAGGGTAGGTTATCATTCTTGTGTGCTGCATCCCTCCTCAGTAAAATCTATCTACCTATGAAGTTTCAAGTTGATACCTCAAATACTTTTTGAGAAAAAAATTGAATTGAAAAATTAAGTACGAAAAATAACAAAGGGCAATAACTCAAAAATTATAAAAGGTAGAGTTATCATTCTTGTGCACTGCACACCTCCTGAGTGAGATCTATGCACCTATGAAGTTTCATTTTGATATCTCAAAGGCTTTTTGAGTTATGCTCTGGACAAAAAATAATTTTGAAAAATAACAAAGGGCAATAACTCAAAAATTATGCAAGGTAGAGTTATCATTCTTGTGCACTGCACTCCTCCTCAATGAGATCCATCCACCTATGAAGTTTCAAGTTGATACCTCAAATACTTTTTGAGATAAGCTCCAGACAAAAAATTATGTCGGACGGAAGGAGACTATTTCTATATCCCCCGCCGCCTTTTCGGCGGGGGATAAAAAATGGGGGTGTCTCAATCAAATTTCTTAAAATGAGGGGTGAACTGTCTGCAAAAAAGGACCTAGTGTGACGTGTCTGTAAACCACGTCTAGACGCTGGTCAAGAAATCAACCTTGGTATCTTCATAAAATTGGATAGATCACATAAGCAACTGTCAACATATTATTTCTTTCCAAGTTTGTTTCTTTCCTGTGTAAAAATTTACAAATTAAACATAAAATTCAACGAAAACATTATCTTGCAACATACTTTTCTGTGATTCCTATTGCACTTACGAACTTTCGCTATACATCTATGCAGTATTTCGATAGAGCGGAAGTCAGTGCGCGAGCATGCGCTTTGCCATGTCTCGTTCAGATACCGCTCACGTTTTAAACTCAGTTGCTATGAAGCGACCGTTTTAAACTCGGTTGCTATGAAGAGACACTAAGTGTACATGGCTTTTACAACTAAAATATCAGACAAACACATTAAAACAATACACATAAACTACACATAGCTGTTTTCCATATTAATATTTTCCATTTGAAACTGATAGTCAAACAAATATCTCAATATTTTTACCGATTTAATGTATTGTTTACATGTGATGACAACAACGCTGTGTGTTAGATTACTTTCGGTTCAGAAAATTCATTTGTTTACCATCAAAACTCATATGTTTACCATAGGAACCATATATAGATAGAAAGCAAATTAAACAAAGGTAAAGAAAAAATTGTCCGTTTCTGAACAAAAAATCGAATAAATAAATACAAGGTCTTTTTAAAATGTCCCTTCTTTGAGTTCATTTGAAAGAAGAATAATTTGGTGGAATTTTAGACAGGGAAACAGGGAGTTATCTTACATGGCTAGGGAAAATGGCCGACTGAAATCATGCAAGCAAGTTTGTAAGTGTATTGGCTATTCATAATCATAAAGAAAATTTCTATTTTCATTCCTCATTCAAACAGACTTTTAACCGACAAGTAACACATATACTTGTACATTTATGCCCTTAATTTCAAGTTCTATTTCATTACAATTTTACCACAGAATTAATAATAAACCCCAAATAATAAAAATTTGGTGTGGAAGCTTCTGGAAAAATGGCGACGGCCATGTAAAAACATGTTTACCTTGCCAGCGTTTATGTTTCCAAACTGGACCTTCTTACCACTCTCACGCTTCGTGTTCTGGTCTGAAATAAAGAGAAGACTTTGTTTTTATCCATTATCAAAATAAAAGTAAATGTGTTTCAGTAATATGATCGTAAATTTACAACTTACTCAAGACGATTATCGGTTGGCCGTACATGCTTGTTGTTCCGGTGCACTGTGAAATTTATCTACTATTACATTTGTGTTAACCGGTTTGGCAAGAAACCACTAATTCTTAGTAAAAGAGTTTCAGTAAACATAGAAATGTTAACTTCAAAGAATAGTTAAAATTCTTATTCTTATTCATAGTTCAAAATATTTACACATCCTTAATAATGATTAATTAAATAAAAAGTTATAATGATATTATGTTATTATAAACCAAAATGTTATTTATATAATTTATTTAATATTATATTATTTTATAATATGTTATCATAAAATCCAAAACAACATTGTTTTTGTTGACCATCAACACCTTACTCAAACAAGAAATCTGAACTACCTGATACCCTACTCGAGGACACAATATCATCAAAATTCTTTCTTTCCTAGGAGCATACGTCTTTGGAATAGCCTTCCCCTAACTGTTCAGTCTAGCCCCAGTTTAAACATCTTTAAATACTGAGAGGCTTGACCCATTCTATAAATTCTAAACTGCACACTATGTCTTTTAAATTAATAGTCTTGTAGAACTTTTATTCTTTTAACTTTTTAATTTGCATATAAATAAATTCTTTTATTAACAGTTTCCTGACAACGCGCCTGCTAGTCATAATCAGAATTGATTGTTAAGCAGTATGATGTAGATGTACATGTAAACATAAATTTCACACAGTAACAGATTACCAGTACAGTAGGTTGAAACTTGCATTAGAGCATAATAAAATAAACTATAGTTTAGTTTAAACATATTTATTTAAGCACAATTGCGAAACAAGTTCTTGCAACTTATATACATCACTTTTGAGTCCTTTTCCTGGAACCAATCAGTGCTTGTTTCACATGAATAAGAAACATGGTTGTGACCCGGGTAGGGCTCGAACCAATGATCCCTTTGTTGCGCGGCAGACACCTTAACCACTAGGCCACCACCCACCTTATAAACTATACTTACATACCCGGTAAATCTGTATCAGTAACCTATATGGATCAATCAATCAGAGTCATATCTGGATTACAGATGCCAAGGATGTACTTCATAAAAATCACGGGGTATCAGTAACCTAGGTGATATATAAAATAATTAGATGTGTTTTTTTCTTCTAAATTATTGTTACCTTTAATTTTATTTATCTTTTTTTTTCTGATGGGGTGAAGGGGTGGGAGGTAGGCTTTTATTCCTTTTTACAATAATAAATTATTTAATAACTAATAAAGCTTGAAAGCAGGTGTGCACTACTCACAGCTAGGTCTCTCTTTACATGCACAAATTATCACAAGGATTTAAAGCAGATCTAAAGCTTTTCATAAAGCACCCGAAAGCTTTGCAGAAATAAAATTTCATAATATTGTATCCATAATACCTGCTGAATGCTGGGCTATTGGTAAAAGTGTCTACTTGTAATGATGATTGCCTGTCTCACTGCTCTACCAGGAAAGTTAGATTCTTATTTATAATGATGAAACTATTCAGCTAGTTTATATAAGGGTAACAATTCATCAATTAACAAGAAGATGGGACCTAGGTGCGTCAGTGATTCTTTCCCATCAGTAAAGCTAGAAAGCTGTCAAGCAGACATATAATAGTTGGAAGACTAAAATGTATGAAAAGCACACTTTTTGGGACCGCTCAACATAAGAAAATCATATTTATTTTTCAAATATACAAATTGTATATGTATAATAGAAAGAGCGCCGAAACACGAGGCTATCTGATTTGTACGAGGCGTAGCCCCCCGAGTATTAATCAGATTGCCGAGTGTTTTGGTGTTCTTTCTCTTTTGTATCATAGTCAAACATAAAAACACGTTCCTTGTTGTCATAATATGAAACCCCAGAAAAATGTATCCAATGAAAGAGCATCTGAATATAATATTTCTGTCGCGTTTCCTTTCTCTGCCGTCACAATAAGTAACCCCCAGCAAAAATGAACCAATCGATGGGCGTGCTTAGGAGTGCGGGTAACTTATACCTGCACTCCAGTTAACGCACTGTACATGTATATGTATACGATTTAACTCTGACGCATTTTCAACAGAAAGGTTCTCAAACTATGATACAAATAAATATTTTATATATTATATATATATTTTGTCAATATACATACATTAGAAAATAGAAATATTTGTACATTGGAATCTACCTGCTCGTTTAAATAATATACATGTACAGCATAATGGTTTGTACATGGTAATATAAATCTCCGATATCCAGAAATTGTGATCATTGATATTCATTCATGAACCGGATAACTTTTTTTCTCCTCCAATTTAAGGCCTTACAATATTTTATTTGTATCTGACTCGATCTATGTAGAAAATATCAGATCACTCACTCCATTTTTCTAAATTAATCATTAATTTTATTGTGAAAAATAATCTTAACATAATAAAACGTTCAAACCCTTTAAACTCAAATCAAGCTACGAATTGCACTCAATATCAATTTTCAATTAATTCCATGTATAGATATTCTTCTTAGTTTTCTGTTTTAAGTGCCTCAATTGGTCTAAGAAAAGCTTTCAAATTTGTATTGGTTTTAGGCTTTTGGACTCAAATTTCTTCACATTTATAGAGCATTTCTCAGAAATATTCAAATCATCAGCTGGAAAGTTCTGTGCAATTGATTCACACCCCTGTAATGATTTTTCACAAATTGGCATAATCATTTATAAATTGAAGATCTTTTTCATCTGGGATTCTATCTATGAATATGATTTAAGTTGGCAAAGCAGATGCATGGATTTAATGATTTGACAAATAATTTTCCCTAAATCTTATTAGTAGATGACAGCATAACAACAGAAAGTTTTATATATTTGTTGTCATGGTCACTGGATGTCATGGATAAAGACGTTACCTGTGAGGTATACTATACATATTTGACAGAAATAATCATATAAGATTGCTGTATAATAATTAGCACAAAAAAGACGCATTAGGTGTTGCATAACTGACACAAACTGTCATCGATTGTGCCACTAGGTGTTATAATTTACAACTATGAACACAAACAAGTTCAATATTAGTTAATAGCCAATAAATGGCATTGTAGAACTGTTTCCTGTTTTTCTACGAACACTTATAAATTTGTCGGCAAATAAAAAAATGAAGTTTTTAAATTCTCCTGCAAACTACAAGTATCAACTTAAAGTATGCCTCGTTTAGGGACAATAACTCCAGAAAGTAGAAGTAATCAAGATATATTGCTGGTAAATTTTTTAGTATAATCTCCTTGAAACAAGGGAAAATATGCCTGTTTTGACCATTTTCAAGGGGCAATAACTTCATCACATAAGATGGGATCTGGTCACATAAGCTAATCACATAAGATACGGGGGTGGAACCAAATATGTATCTCAAAAATGAGCATCGGTAAAAATTATATGTGAATTTCCGCTGCATCAGATGTGAAGCATAACACCAGATGTGACTGTAAAAAAGGTCAATCGCAGGGTATGTTTTCATCTTTTTAAACATTTATTTAAAATTCAATCCTTTTTTAAGAAAATCGAAATGTGATTCTACGCTCCTGCCTCTTCTCTATATTACCCATTTTTGTTTTGAATTTCTATGCAGTTTTCATCGAGATATTCTTTCCGTCATGCGTTCTGGTGTGTCCAAAACATGCAATGTGAATGAAGAAAATGTCACTAAACAGACTTTTACGCATTCTCACTACAGACCGATGCTTAACTTTCAGATAAATCCTGATTTAAACATTTATTGAGATTTGGCTACAAACGAAGGAATCGCTGCTCAAAATTGCATTTGAGCTCCATATGTGCTGAAAAGATCCATAAGTGACATTTTGAGAAAACCATCTACAAAACTACGGACCACTTCCATAAAATCATTAAATGGCCAATGTAAAGAAACAATTTAGGGTTCGTAGCTTTGGCTGAAAGTTCAATTGTAACATTAGTGTGTTTGATCACCACAATGACAAGGCTGACAAGCTTATGCTAGCATTAGAAATACTAAAAGGCCCGAGTACATGAAAATGTTGACGCAGAGCGGATAGTACTCGTATGATAAACAATTCACTAATAAAGGATATGTAACTTGGACAAACCAAACTGAAAGTATTAAACTTTGTAAAGCTATTGTGTCATATAATGTGTTTCTTTAATAATGTTTACATTCATAAAAATTTCTATCACTTGAATATTCCACAAGTTATAGTTATAGCGACAGACTGTTATGTGGAAATATCATGGCCTGGTGCGACATCGAAAGTTTTCATTTACATAATATGGGCAAAGAACATTGTCTGTAAGGAAAACCCGAGATGCCGCCCCAGGTCATGATATTTCTACATAATAGTCGAGTTCAATATATTATAACTGTTTTATTGCATGATAAACAGAAATGAGAATTTAAATAAATATAAAATGTCAATTTATAATAATTATTGACTTCTCTTCATAAATTTAATTCCCCACTCGGAACCTCAGTTACTTTTCAAGTAACGTGTCAATGACCGATATTGTAAACCCCACACCATATGAGCCAATCAGAAGTATGTTGGGTGTTCCAGATTGGTTGGATGACCAGACACAGAAAAACATTACTGTCAATAATTGTGACGCGCCAGTATTACGCTAACCGCCGTTTCATCAGCATTGTTGATGGCATGCCAAAAGATGGTTTTTTAAATTTATATCAGTTACAGAGCAGGCAAATATAAATATAAAATAAGTCAAATATGCATTGACCCATAATTGCGACTATGGGCATGAAGTGAACCATGTAAATATTATGCAAGGACGTCCCTTGATGTGGAAAATAAATATGTCAAGTTTCTTTAATCTTTTTCAAAAAGTTTATCACTAACTTTCTTACAGCGCCATAACAAATTCAAACACGCTTCACATTACTCCCCTATTAAGCAGACAGTGCAGTCGAGTGAATAATTAGTTACATAATTAATTAATTAATGCATGACGGCATAAAAAGGGAATGATTGCAGTACACATGACGTCAATAAATCAAAATAAGCAAGGCCTTCCCACCATATCTACGTATTTTCAAAACCTTTCGTATGCAGAATGTCTTATCTCTTTCTATATGGATACTATGTTTTTCAAGCTCGTCTCGTGAAAATGTGTCTATTTTGGATAATTATGTTTTTATTACAGAATGATACACAATAGAATAAATTATAGATTGCTGTATGAAAGTGATGCGTAATTATGTTGCTAATTTTGATATTATGCACATATGGATCTCTTCAGCACATATGGAGCTCAAATGCAATTTTGAACAGCGATTCCCTTCGTTTGTAGCCAAATCTCAATAAATGCTTAAATCAGGATTTATCTGAAAGTTAAGCATCGGTCTGTAGTGAGATTTCGTAAAATCTCTGTTTTTTTAGTCCGTTTAGTGACATGTTCTTTTTCACATTGCATGTTTTGGACACACCAGCACCCACGACGGAAAGAATATCTCGATGAAGACTGCATAGAAATCCAAAACAAAAATGGGTAATATAGAGGAGTCAGGAGGGTAGAATCACATTTCGATTTTCTTAAAAAAAGAATTGAATTTTATTTAAATGTTTAAAAAGATGAAAACATACCCTGCGATTGACCTATATTTACAGTCACATCTGGTGTTATGCTTCACATCTGTATGGAAGGGTATTAACGCAAAAATTACATCTTGCTTTCTTACGTTACATCGTGCTTTCTAACTTGTACATCTTGCATTCTGACTGGGACATACTATACTTATCGTATGTCCCAGATTCTGACTTGTACATCTTGCATTCTGACTTTTACATCTTGCTTTCTTACATGCACATTATGCTTTCTGCTGTGTGTGTCTTGCTTAATTGTATGTTGATATCGTTATTTAACTATCAATAATTATAGATATATATAACTTTAAATTACTACTTTTACTATCAAATATCATGTTATCCATCGAAAAATTAGACATTATGTTTCTTGTGCTAGAAATGTACAATTTTATGCTTTAGTAATTATTTTTTCTTACCTGCAAAACCCTATAGAGAGCCTCTAAAATAACAAAATGTCCGAAGCATGAAAATTTCGTGTTTTGAAATAAGACCAATTATGTACATGAACACGATGATAACACACAAAATAAACCAGTTACACAAAATGTTGGATTTACACACATACATTTACATAAATTTGTACATTGGAGATATTTACAAGAAATAGTAAAAATAAAAGTTTTCAAATTTGTGTTAAATCTTGGATATTTTGAATGCTTGACTGAGATGACTTTATGGATTCTTATTTTCTCTATTTTATTACTTTTAGGAAGGATTTTTACTGACCATTAAGTGTTAAAAATGATATTTTTATTTTTCATATGACTACAGCTATCACAGATGTAAAATGTTGTGTTAAAATGACCATTAGGGTTAATTTTGGATATATACGCAACGAAATGAGATTTTCTTATTTTTGAATTGATATTTGTCATACCACAGGGGTCTGGAATCGTTTATATAAGTCAAACATATATGTAATCAAATATAACAGCTTTTGTTTTGAAAAGATGAATTTATTTTCTCTATAAGTTCATCTATCTGAAAAGCTGATCATTACACTTATTTGAAAAGTTGACCTTACTGAAACAGTACGTACATACAATGAATCAAATCAAGTATAATTGTCAATTAAAATACATGTAAAAAGAAAAAACGGACAACAGGCAAGAATTAACAATCCCATTAAAATCATATCTTAACTGACTTTCACTACGGAAGCGTAAACGGTAATATAATTTTAAGAGCTTGGAGATCGAAAACCAGTAGGCCTGAAAATAGAATTCGTGAAATGAGCAAAGAAATCATCGACAGATAACAATTATTGTTCTTTTAGTAAAATTCTGTAAAATACGTAATGGGCAAAGGAAAAACGTTGCATTACTCGTGTTAACTTACATTTTATTTAATCTTTTATTCTTTCTTTAATTTTGATGATTTTCCACAAAATCCTGTGGTCATTGAAGCTTCTTTCATATTAATGTGTTACACAATTAATATTGGACTTACACGTTAATATTGGACACCTACGTGTACTGTATTAAAAATACAGTACGGTCAGAACAAAGGAATGACGTCACAGAAGTAATTTAAGTAAGATATAAGCCTCAAACTGACCAATAAGTAAAATATTGAATTCCCCTCGGCGCTACGCGCCTCATGAAATTCAGTATTTGACATATTGGACAGTTTTCGGCTTATATCTACTACATATATTAGTTACTTTCGTCTTGTCGCTAGTGAAGCACGCCAAACGGCGCGTTGTCGTGCGGCGTGTTGTCGCGATGTCGCTCAAATCAAAGGATTGGCTTACAAGCCAAGCGACAAGACGACAGTGCGACAACGCGCCGTTTGATGCATTCCGCTAGCGACAAGACGAAAAGACGATAACGATAAACGTTGTGTTGTCGCTATCGACAACGCAACGCGCAAAGTGTACCAACTCAGCCACCATACATAATAAGCTATATCATTCTCGTATATGAAATACATGGAAAAATATATAAAATAATGATTATTAATAATTCAAAAAAATATAAAAAAATCAATAAATTAAAAAGTAAAACAAAAATAGAATAATTTAATTCAAAGGGCTAATAAAAGTTTCACCAATTGTGGGATTTGAGCTTACGACCTTCCGCATGCGAAACAAGGACCTTAATCACTACTCTAACAGGCCATATGTTTTTTCTGTTCGTGCATTTTCGTATATGGCTTTATCCTGCCACCCCTATGTACTTATAAATTAAGATTTCCCATTCTCGATCATAATTATTTGAATGCCGGATTCCGATGATTGCCGATAAAAGGTCATTGAATATTCAAATGTCTCAGGCCAATATTGGCCAACAATATTTCAATACTGAAAAGGTCAGAGTTGAGAAGCACGGCGGAAAATGCCGAATTTTCCGCTTCACAGATTACAGACCACGTGATCATTTGAGCTAACAGTTCATTTTTGGTGGGAAACTCGCGCCGAGAAGACGTTCTTTGTTAATAGAGTAAGTGTGATAATATTTTACAACTTTTGTATTTGATCGTTTATATTGTTCTTTATGTATGCTATTTTTCCATGTACTCGCGATTTATAAAATATCTTTAAATATGTATGTTATGAGTTGAGTTGAAGTGATTGTTGATGGTTGTTATAAAATGTGATTTGGCCAGACTACGTGATGTGCCCACGGTTTTTTGATATACTCGCGATTTATAAAAAAACTTTATGTAAGTTATTCCTGTACCCCCTGTAGTTGGTAATGTGTCGAGTTGAAGTTATTGTTGATGGTTGTTATAAAATGTGATTCTGGCCAGGCTACGTGATATGACTGCGTTTTTTTGTTGATATACTCGCGATTTATAAATTTTTTTTATGTAAGTTAATCCTGTACCCCCTGTAGTTGGTTATGTGTTGAGTTGAAGTTATTGTTGATGGTTTGTTATAAAATTTGATTTGGCCAGACTACGTGATGCGCCTGCGGTTTTCTTTATATACTCGCGATTTTTTAAAAAAAAAAAAATCTTTATATAATTATGTTATCCCTGTAGTTAGTAATGTGTTGAGTAGAAGTTATTGTTGATGATTATTATAAAATGGGATTTTGGCCAGACTACGTGATGCGCCCGCGGTTTTCTTTTTATATACTCGCGATTTTAAAAAAAAATCTTTATATAATTATGTTATCCCTGTAGTTAGTAATGTGTTGAGTAGAAGTTATTGTTGATGATTATTATAAAATGGGATTTTGGCCAGACTACGTGATGCGCCCGGTTTTTTGATAATTTTATACTCGCGATTTATAAAAAAGTCTTTATATATGTTATTCCTGTAGTTAGTATTGTGTTGAGTTGAAGTTAGTGTTGATGGTTGTTGTTATAAAATGTGATTTTAGCCAAACTATGTGATGCGCCCGCGTTTTTTTTTGATATACTCACGATTTATAAAAAAATCTTTATATATGTTCTTATGAGTTGAGTTGAAGTCATTGTTGATGGTTGTTATAAAATGTGATTTTGGCCAGACTACGTGATGCGCGCGCGTTTTTTTGATATACTTACGATTTACAAAAAAAATCTTTATATACGTTATCCCTGAACCCCTGTAGTTATGTTTTGAGTTGAAGTTATTGTTGATGGTTGTTGTAATAAAATGTGATTCTGGCCAGGCTACGTGATCCGCCCATGGTTTTTTGATATACTCGCGATTTATAAAAAATCTTTATGTAAGTTATCCCTGTACCCCCTGTAGTTAGTAATGTGTTGAGTTGAAGTGATTGTTGAGGGTTGTTGTTATAAAATGTGATTCTGGCCAGGCAACGTGATCCGCCCGCGTTTTTTTTTATATACTCGCGATTTATAAAAAAAATCTTTATGTAAGTTATCCCTGTAGTAAGTAATGTGTTGAGTTGAAGTGATTGTTGATGGTTGTTGTTATAAAATGTGATTCTGGCCAGGCAACGTGATCCGCCCGCGTTTTTTTTTATATACTCGCGATTTATAAAAAAAATCTTTATGTAAGTTATCCCTGTAGTAAGTAATGTGTTGAGTTTAAGTGATTGTTGATGGTTGTTGTTATAAAATGTGATTCTGGCCAGACTACGTGATGCGCCCGCAGTTTTTTGATATACTCGCGATTTATAAAAAAAAATATGTAAGTTATCCCTGTACCCCCTGTAGTTAGTAATGTGTTGAGTTGAAGTGATTGTTGATGGTTGTTGTTATAAAATGTGATTCTGGGCAGACTACGTGATGTGCCCACGGTTTTTTGATATACTCGCGATTTATAAAAAATCTTTATATACGTTATCCCTGAACCCCTGTAGTTATGTGTTGAGTTGAAGTTATTGTTGATGGTTGTTGTTATAAAATGTGATTTTGGCCAGACTACGTGATGCGCGCGCGTTTTTTTTATATGCTTACGATTTACAAAAAAAAAATCTTAATATACGTTATCCCTGAACCCCTGTAGAGTTATGTTTTGAGTTGAAGTTATTGTTGATGGTTGTTGTAATAAAATGTGATTCTGGCCAGGCTACGTGATCCGCCCGCGGTTTTTTTTATATATACTCGCGATTTATAAAAAATCTTTATGTAAGTTATCCCTGTATTTAGTAATGTGTTGAGTTGAAGTTATTGTTGATGGTTGTTATAAAATGTGATTCTGGCCAGGCTACGTGATGCGCCCGCAGTTTTTTGATATACTTATACTCGCGTATTGTATTTGACTTGTGTTTTTAGAATTTGTGTACTATGATTATGTTTGATATGTTTAATTATGTATTTGTTTGCTCTAATACCTATATTTTTGTATTGCAGATCTATTTGCCAGGTTCTTTAAATGTTTTTTTTGCCTATATTTTAATGTTTTGTGTTTTTTTGTCTTTTTGAAAACCACCTGGAAAGAAGATGTTGGTGTTCTAGTTCTACATTGTGGCGAAGACGTGAGGATGTGGATAGATGTGTATCATTGGTTGGAAACTGGCATGATGGAGAAATTAGGTATTTTCAAAATTATACTTTAAGGATTTTTTTTGTAACCGTTTATTTGTGCCTGCAAAGTATCAATTATTTACAAGATAAAAAAAGTTCAGCTAGTTCAACAAACAGTTGATAGGAATTGTCTATTGGAGATAGTCTTTTAGCTAGCTAGACTGGAAGGTAAGTGGTTCTACTAGGCATGAACTTGCCCCACCCTGAAACTCTTTTGACGGCCTTTATCTGCCATATAATAAAGTATGGGTCATCATATTATATAAAACCAATGAAATATTGATAATTACCTGCTTATTTGAAAAGTAATTTGTAAAGACATGATAAATATTAACATTATAAGATTAGAATGTTATTTTGTAAACACATGGGTGACTAGGAAAATAATAGGTATTGGTACATTTTCTTTGATTCTTTTTATTCTGTTTTACTTGTGTGTCTTCTTTTAAGCCTTGTGAATTAGAATGTTATTTTGTAAACCCTGGTGATTTTTCAGACCATGGAGGAGTGAAGAAGTGGAAGTGGACAAGACTATCAGTTCTTCGAGAGTTCCAGTGCCTATATACTCGCAAGAAGGATATGGTATGGAATAGCTTAAAGTACATCTATGTGCTGGCAGATTTGTACAACAAGAAGTTGTTCCAGTGTGAGGAGAGATGCTTGACATAAGGTAAACCTTGCTCTTTGATGCTATAGTAAATCATAATAAAGATAATGAATCATAATAAAATCAAAATACAAGTTTGGTTGAAATCCTGTGCAATTTGAGCCAAATGAATATAGAGGTGAATATCCTGTCGGACATTTTGGAGACTTGGGTTCCATTCCCTATCTATGTTTACTTACAAAATACAATTTTGTTATATTACTTATGAATAAAGTATACATTTGATAGGCATTGTCAGTTGTAGTTGTCTAACAGGCGAACTTTTGGTATGTTGGTGGTTCTGTAACTTTTTGTGTTGCCTCTACAGAGTAGTGGTGACATATAGGGATCACTTCTCCGTCGTCTGTCTGTCCGTGCAAAACACATGGGTGACTAGGAAAATAATAGGTATTGGTACATTTTCTTTGATTCTTTTTATTCTGTTTTACTTGTGTGTCTTCTTTTAAGCCTTGTGAATTAGAATGTTATTTTGTAAACCCTGGTATTTTTCAGACCATGGAGGAGTGATGAAGTGGAAGTGGACAAGACTATCAGTTCTTCGAGAGTTCCAGTGCCTATATACTCGCAAGAAGGATATGGTATGGAATAGCTTAAAGTACATCTATGTGCTGGCAGATTTGTACAACAAGAAGTTGTTCCAGTGTGAGGAGAGATGCTTGACATAAGGTAAACCTTGCTCTTTGATGCTATAGTAAATCATAATGAGGATAATGAATCATAATAAAATCAAAATACAAGTTTGGTTGAAATCCTGTGCAATTTGAGCCAAATGAATATAGAGGTGAATATCCTGTCGGACATTTTGGAGATTATTCCATTCCTTGTCTATGTTTACTTACAAAATACAATTTTGTTATATTACTTATGAATAAAGAATACATTTGATAGGCATTGTCAGTTGTAGTTGTCTAACAGGCTTACTTTTGGTATGTTGGTGGTTCTGTAACTTTTGTGTTGCCTCTACAGAGTAGTGGTGGCATATAGGGATCACTTCTCCGTCGTCTGTCTGTCCGTGCAAAACACATGGGTGACTAGGAAAATAATAGGTATTGGTACATTTTCTTTGATTCTTTTTATTTTGTGTTTTACTTGTGTGTCTTCTTTTAAGCCTTGTGAATTAGAATGTTATTTTGTTTACCCTGGTGATTTTTCAGACCATGGAGGAGTGATGAAGTGGAAGTGGACAAGACTATCAGTTCTTCGAGAGTTCCAGTGCCTATATACTCGCAAGAAGGATATGGTATGGAATAGCTTAAAGTACATCTATGTGCTGGCAGATTTGTACAACAAGAAGTTGTTCCAGTGTGAGGAGAGATGCTTGTCATAAGGTAAACCTTGCTCTTTGATGCTATAGTAAATCATAATAAAGATAATGAATCATAATAAAATCAAAATACAAGTTTGGTTGAAATCCTGTGCAATTTGAGCCAAATGAATACAGAGGTGAGTATCCTGTCGGACATTTTGGAGACTATTCCATTCCCTGTCTATGTTTACTTACAAAATACAATTTTGTTATATTGCTTATGAATAAAGTATACAATTGATAGGCATTGTCAGTTGTAGTTGTCTAACAGGCTAACTTTTGGTATGTTGGTGGTTCTGTAACTTTTTGTGTTGCCTCTACAGAGTAGTGGTGACATATAGGGATCACTTCTCCGTCTGTCTGTCCGTGCAAAACACATTGGTGACTAGGAAAATAATAGGTATTGGTACATTTTCTTTGATTCTTTTTATTTTTTTTTTAATTGTGTGTCTTCTTTTAAGCCTTGTGTGACTAAAAATGAATGAAATGATCAAAGGAAAAGTCATGTAAGTACTTCTGTACTGTTTGTCCGGACGACTCAAAAACTACTGGTGCAATTTCATCTAAACTTTACAAGAAAGATCAGTTACAAGTCTAGTTGTGCATCTTGTCAACATTTTTGGGTTCAATTATATCTATCAAAGAAATGGCCCTTCAATGATTTTGATTTTTAAATTGACTATACAAAGTATATAGAGAGCTGTCCTACTCGCCCCGGAGTCCGCATTAAAGTTTTGGTGCATTAAAATATTTTTTGATGGATGAAACTCATGGTTAACTTATTGCTTGTGAGCTGGTATCTCCCTAACTATTGAAAGGAATGGAATGAAACTTAATATACATTTTCACTGTGATTTTTAACATGATTGGCACAGGTCCCATAACTCTGATTTACTTATTTACATATTTATGCCCCTTTTTATACTCAATGAAACATCCTTGTGACAACTCTATCGAATAGTCGAGCATTGCTGTCCTCCAACAGCTCTTGATAAACTTAGAAAATTTAATTGAAAATTGTTATATTTGTTTAAGTACTTGTAATATTTTTGTTATTATAAATGATATCTGCTCTAGACTTAGGATAATTGTTCTTTGTCATTACTCACATCATGCATGACAAGTTCCATCAGGGATTTTTTCCAGGATTTTGGGAACATGACCCATACTCATGACATTGGGAATTTCAGCGTTGTTTTGTTAAAAATTGGGAAAAAATGCATGACTGAAATTTTGCAGTGTTTAAATGAATGCAAACAATCCATGTCTAGGATGGCATCTCCAAACATTTTAGCACTATTACAGTGAAGAAGCCCTTATTTTTAAAGATGTTAGAATTCTTTATTCAATATTTTTATTTTGTAACTTTCAATTTGGAATATTTTCCTGTAGATTGGGAAAGTAATATACTATTTTCAATTGGGAATATGACCCAATAACGGCTGTAAAATAAGCAAAACAAATCCCTGTAAATCATTACTATAGCATCCTTATTTCAAGAGTAATAAACAAAATAATCGGTAAAAAACATTAACCATCTTAAAATAATGCTGACGATCATCCTTGATCAATGCTATGTTTTGACAGCTGTGCAATACCGGATAAACAATGTACCACCAAGTCTACTAATAATCAAATGGCCCCTCGCTAATTTGAATAAATTCCATTGCACAGCGTGATATACCGTTCTCCTAGATTTTATTGGTTAATTTACATTTACACAAAAATAATGACAATAATCCATCCAAAAACTTTCTTTAACCCATTCAGTTTCACACTGTATATATAGGCGATCAATATAAACACCTTTTCTGACCGTTGTAGGTAGCTTCATAAAAATTGTTTCAAGCCTTACATGATTTCCCTGAACATGCCTTTCAACGCCGTCAAATTAAAACACAAATTTCCATTTAATTATTCATATAAATGACACAGGAAGACTGATATTGTAAAAATAAAATATTGGCGAGGTATTTTCCATTTTCAGAAAATGGGGTTACTATAAAAAGATTTTTGGAAAAAACTGTATAGTACGCCGCCGACCTCTAAAACTAACTTTCACATGGAATTAAATATGTTTTCAGAATATGGATGGTTGTGTAACAGTGGTGAAGTGTTTGTTGATCGAGACTATCAATTATTCATCTGTGCTGGTAGATTTGTACATTTGGAAGTTGTTTCAGTGTGGAGAGAGATGGACACGGTGTATTGTACGGTAAACCTTGCTCTTTGATTTCATTGGTAAATCTATTTTAGCTAGTCTACAACTAGGTAAAGCTGGAACGTCGCCATATGACCTATACTGTGTCGGAACGTCGTCATATGACCTATACTGTGTTACAACGTCGCCATATGACCTATACTGTGTCGGTGTGACGTAAAGCCCATTCAAACAAACAAACAAAACCTGCCCTTGTCTGTCCGTTTTGGGAAATATTTTTTCTGCCAATAAAGGTGGGGAGATGCCATATGACTTAAGAACCAACAAAACAAATGTGATTTGTTTAGTTAAAAAGACTTTGTTCAACAAATATGATTGGAATGTTGTTTTGTTAACCCCAGTGAAATTTCAGTTAATCTTAAGACCAAGGAGGCAGATTTGCAAGAATGGCATGAAACATGGTGATGATGGATGGACGTGTGGATCGTTAAAGCCCAACAGTGACAGAGTATTGGAGTACTTGACGTGCATTGTGAAAGTTGATTGAGACTATCAATTCTTCGAGAGTCCCAGTGCCTATATACTCGCAAGAAGGATATGGTATGAAATACAGCTTGGTACACATCTGTGCTGGTAGATTTGTACATTTGGAAGTTGTTTCAGTGTGGAGAGAGATGGACACGGTGTATTGTACGGTAAACCTTGCTCTTTGATTTCATTGGTAAATCTATTTTAGCTAGTCTACAACTAGGTAAAGCTAGTCTATAACTAGGTAAAGCTGGAACGTCGCCATATGACCTATACTGTGTCGGAACGTCGCCATATGACCTATACTGTGTATATGACCTATACTGTGTCGGTGTGACGTAAAGTCCATTCAAACAAACAAACAAAACCTGCCCTTGTCTGTCCGTTTAGGGAAATATTTTTTCTGCCAATAAAGGTGGGGAGATGTCATATGACTTAAGAACCAACAAAACAAATGTGATTTGTTTAGTTAAAAAGACTTTGTTCAACATATCATATATGATTTGAATGTTTTTTGTTAACCCCAGTGAAATTTCAGTTAATCTTAAGACCAAGGAGGCAGATTTGCAAGAATGGCATGAAACATGGTGATGATGGATGGACGTGTGGATCGTTAAAGCCCAACAGTGACAGAGTATTGGAGTACTTGACGTGCATTGTGAAAGTTGATCGATACTATCAATTCTTCGAGAGTCCCAGTGCCTATATACTCGCAAGAAGGATATGGTATGAAATACAGCTTGGTACACATCTGTGCTGGTAGATTTGTACATTTGGAAGTTGTTTCAGTGTGGAGAGAGATGGACACGGTGTATTGTACGGTAAACCTTGCTCTTTGATTTCATTGGTAAATCTATTTTAGCTAGTCTACAACTAGGTAAAGCTAGTCTATAACTAGGTAAAGCTGGAACGTCGCCATATGACCTATACTGTGTCGGAACGTCGCCATATGACCTATACTGTGTCGGAACGTCGCCATATGACCTATACTGTGTCGGTGTGACGTAAAGCCCAATCAAACAAACAAACAATACCTGCCCTTGTCTGTCCATTTTGGGGAATATTTTTTCTGCCAATAAAGGTGGAGAGATGTCATATGACTTAAGAAGCACTTTAACAAATGTGATTTGTTGACAAATGAGATTGGAATGTTGTTTTGTTAACCCAAGTGAACTTTCAGTTAATCTTAAGACCAAGGAGGCAAATTTGCAAGAATGGCATGAAACATGGTGTTGATGGATGGATGTGTGGATGAGATTGGAATGTTGTTTTGTTAAGGCAAGGCAAGTACAGAACAGAAAGGTAAAATTATTTAAAAAATGTTATATTGTATTTATAATAGAGGAATGATATTATGAACAACATACTATGTTAGATGAAATTGAAATTGTGTATATGAAAGTTAAGAGTAAACATTATTGAAAGTAACATTGTGAATTGTGAAATGATCCCTGGTGGATGACATGAAGTCATTAATGAAAACTGGACATGGAAGTTTACTGCAGTGAAAATTAGTGAAAAATGAAATGGAAAGTATCTGTTGAAATATGAAAGAAGTGAATTGAATCAGCAATAGGAAAATACGAAAAGTGAAAGTGAAAATGAATGAAAATAAATTGAAAAAGGAAGTAATGCATGAAAATTTGAATTTTTAAAAAAATTGAGAACAATAATGTAAATAATATAGATATTATGAAGAGTTGAATGAAGAAATTTGAAAGTGAAAATATAAAGATAGTGAAAAATGGAAAGTATCTGTTGAAATATGAATGAAATATAAATGAAGAGCACAAGAGATCAGCAATAACAAAAGGAAATGTGAAAGTGAAAAATGAATGAAAATAAATTGAAAAAGGAGGAATGCATGGAAATTTGAATTTTCAAAATATTGAATCGGCTTCAAAGAAATGAAAAAGGAGAACAATAATATAGGAATTTATGAATGAAATTTGAAAGTGAAATGAGTTCATAACGAAATAAAAAATGAATGAATAATGTAATGGAAGATAATTTGGTGGTGCAAAGATCAGACATGTGAAAATATAAATGAAATAGATTTGAAACAATTGGCTTTTCTTGACTGTAGAAAGTCAATGATTGTTGATTGTCTGCTCCTCCCATTCATAGTTCTACCATGATGTGGAAGTGCAGACAATGCAGTTATTCTAATTGATTTTTTTTCTATTTCAGCTCAATTTTATATTGACCTTTGACTTGACCTTAATCAATCTGCAAGTCCTTACCAACCTGACCACCTCATTTGATGATCATAAGCCATGGCTTTTCCTAGTTGACCAATCAACTTTTTTAACTACTTGGCATAATTAACGTAAAGGCCCAATCTTTGACCAAAACTTTCTCCGGTTATTGGTCAGACATGGATATTGGATATTGAAGCTCTGATTATGGAATGGTGGGGGATGTGTAGCAAAACCAAAACGCGTGACTATCTAAACCATATCCTGTACAGTGACAGACTTACCATTCTTCAGAGCTTCAATCAAAGGTTAATAATTTGAAAAACTAGCTAAACGCTATTTTCCGGTACTTTCTGTACATAGCTCTCGGGAATTCAATGAAATGTTGTATAATAATGTAACGATCTGTATGTTTTTGGCCTTTTCGGGATTAAAGTGAAATAAAATGATTATTTCATTCTTAGATCTTTTTATTACATGCTTTTCGGTGGTTTATAGAAATATATCAGTGATATAAAAACTGGTAATTTCACTGTTTGAAACAGTGAAATTACCACTTTGATAATTTCACCGTTTTGAATTTAAGCCCCTTATGTTGTTTCAGTGAAATACCAGCGTGCACAGTACTGGGTACCAACTTAATGACGTGACGTCGTAAATGACGTCACGTTGTATTATTATTTGGCGCGCTTTTCATTCAGTATTAGGTTTTATGTCTTTTTAAAACGTTTCTTTGCATGTAATAAAAAGAAAATTTGTTTAGTTTAGTGTAAGATCGAAATATATTTCACCTTGTGAACACCAAAAATTCATATTTCACTCGTGGCTGCGCCACTCGTGAAATATACCTTTTGGTGCTCACTCGGTGAAATATATTCCGATCTTACACCGAACTAAACAAATATCCTCTATTTATTAATAATTCCATGAAAGAAAATGTGATTTTCTCAAATAGTGATTTTATAGCTAAACAAAATCACTGTTTGGAGTTCGGATGTGATGAATTATATCACAAGGTCATAGCCCGAGTGACATAATGATGCACATCTTAATGACAAACAATTATTTTATCAAGCGATAAAATCACTGATTTGGATAATTATTTTATCAAGCGATAAAATCACTGATTTGGATATCTTATTTCAATTTTAACACATCAACAAATAAATGTGTAAAATTTGCGATAGATAAACGGTGAAATCTTGTGGTATGAAAACTATCATATTTCACTCGTAGCTACCACCACTCGTGAAATTTTTCATTTTCATACCACTCCATGAAAATAAATCATGTATTTATAGAAAAAAACTTGAATATCGTCTATATACTTCATTAGGTGTAATTCCCAAGATCTTCATATGTAAAGTACTGGAAAATGATGTGCAGCTAGGTTTTCGAAAAGGTCAATCGCTACACTTCTCCCAATGCTGCCTAGTTGTAAAACAGCACACTTCCAGATTCATATTTAAATAAAATTAATTATATGTTGCATAATTAAGTTAAATATTCAGATTTGAAGTTCAGAAAACTTTTTAAAATTTACAAAGCCATAAGTAAGACTTTTATTTATTTCCTATTATGTATTAAAATATTTAGTACCTGCGTAATATTATATTGTTAATAAGTGCGTAGAATTAATATAACAATATTTTTAAATATTTGTAATAAGCTAATTTTGAATTGAATGGAAGAAGTATGCATATCTTTTTTTTTACTTTTCCTAAATTTGGATTGATTTTTGAAGAAATTTAAATATCTGGATGTGTGCAGTTTTAACTTCTAGCATGTCCCAAGCCATGGTAAAAGCAGAGGGGGAGAAATGAATCTTTATTTGTATTATCAATGTTATTTTACATATCACTAAAATTCTTTACATTTTTGATTGCATTGTTCGCCATTTTCTTGATGTCTGAAGTGATAGAGAATAATTAATAGGTTGGTGCCTTGGATCTAGCAAGGCGGAGGAATTTTTTTGGTGAGCCTTTGGCCAGATAGTTTAAGTTCTCCATCCATAGCACCAATCATTCTATTTATCCTGTTATCGATTTTTTTATAAAAGAGTTTCATTTAGAACAGAGTTAAATTGTAATGTGTTTTTGAAAGTTTTGGCCTGTGCGCAGTAAAAAAGTAGTTCTTATTATTCTGAAATATTTAACAAGCAAAAATGTCAAACCAGTCTTTTTTAGTGATTTTAGTCATTTTTACTTGTTTTGCCGCGTAACGTCATGCGTTCTTTTTCATGACGTCATCATATGATGTCACAGTACCAATGTTGAAATTTAGTTCCGTAAAATTACCCGAATTTGTTACATTTTAACACAATGTATGCAGTTATTTACTTGCTTCTCCTATAGAAGCAAAATTTACGTACATGACAGAATTTATTCCTGTTGGTAATTCAATTTAGTGTTGTTGTTTTTTTCATTTATCATAACAGCACATGCCTTAGATTGCTAAAACAAGAACCATAAGGAATAGAAAATTGTCAATATTTTACAAAATCTTTCAGAAATATGTAATCCGGATGATAAAAAACATTTTAAGTGTGCTTTTTTAAAAAATTCTTATGTGCTAAATATTTGGCTATTTAAAAACTATATATAGATGCAAAAAAGTAGGAAGAATGTTAATCTTTTAAATAACAAGCCATGGTTAGTAAGTTTTAAGCTCTTGTAGTTTAATTTTAAAAATGCCTCTTTTATTGTATCACATACATAAGAGGAGTTCTGAGTTCAAATCTCAGTGGGAGCACTTATTTGCTGATTCATGGTTTGTAAAATTAAAACAGGGCTGTGAATTTTATGTCTATATTAAAGTTATTGTTTTTATAAGTCATTGTTTTTATAAATCATTGTTTTTATTTGACATTTATTAAATCAAGGTTTTTGAAACTTGATAAGAAATTTGACAGTATGATTTTAAAAACTATATGATTTTAAAATTGTGCAACTATATTTTTTGCTGTACCTCAAATCATAATTCTCTGACCAAATAGTATACAGTTGTTGATCCAGATGGTGTTCAATAGTGCCTTAGCATTACCGGTACCCAGAATGCCCTTTTCATAGAGAATGTTAATTTCCAGTTCAAGATATTGGGCAGTAGACTTCATTGGCTTATCTCCTTTTCCTAGCCTTTTAAGTGATTTTTGTTGCAACTCAGCTTATAAATGATTATTCTAAAAAATGTTTGGTGAAAACATGGTCTGTGATGTTGCACATAACTTATTGGTTCTGAATCTGAACAACATCAAATGGTTCTAATTCAAAAATTATTACCAGTCTTGATATGTCAATCTTCAGTGGAATATATGAGCCGCATCACGACAAAACCAACATAGTGCGTTTGCGACCAGCATGAATCCAAACCAGCCTGCGCATCCGCGCAGTCTGATCAGGATCCATGCTGTTCGCTATCAGTTTCTCTACTTGTAATAGTGTTTGCAAGCGAACAGCATGGATCCTGATCAGACTGCGCGGATGCGCAGGCTGGTCTGGATCCATGCTGGTTGCAAACCCATTATGTTGGTTTTGTCGTGACGCGGCTCATATTTTATATCATATCGAAATTGTTTCATTATCGCTTTAGCTGCATTTTATAATTAAATTTTTAACATTTGATCACATTTTTTTGTTCTACATGTATCTTTATATTTATACAAATCAAGAATGAGACATGTACGTATTTAAGACAGCAAATGCAAGCTACCGTCCACACACCCTATAGCCCATACTAGTACCGGCTAAAGCAGTATTAAACCACAGGAACTTGAAATTCTATCACTACTAACGATAATATGCAAAATATACCCCCTATATACTATAAAAAAACAGTATATAGGGGGTCTATTTTGCATATTATCGTTAATAGTGATAGAATTTCAAGTTCCTGTGATTAAACATAAAACTTGTGAAATATCCGCAGAAGAGTAATCCATAAAAAAATGGTGTGTGTTCCCAAGTAAAAGAATGAATGCAACCTAAATGAATGAACAAAAAAGAACATGTTGCGTCTGCATAAGAAATGTGAATCAGCCAATGTCACAAGCTCATAATATATGGCAGAACATAAACTGGTTTTGGTCTGAGATACTTATTGTATACTATTTCCAGTTTTCGTGCGACAGGTTCCTAAAACTGGAAAATACTCTAGGAATATGAATGGTGAAATTATAGATGGATCAGGATAAGTTCAAAGTTTATATATCTTCAAAGGTGAATATTAAAAAGGAGATAATTATATCTAACGCTCATTCTCATTAAAACACAGCATTTGATGTTCCACTGGTTAGCTCTTATATGAAGGTTTTTCTTGAGGTCACAATGTCGTGGTGGCTGCCACTTTGTCTAATAGGGACTCTCTCAGTTTTACATTTTTAGCTGGTATTTTTCTTTAACAAGTACCATTAATGCCCTGAAATGTAACATACGTGACTGTCGCCACCTAGAATTTTCAACTTTGAAATTGTGTTTTAGAAAAATAAGTTCCAGAATACACGAAACATGTACAATTAGTCATTGCTGCGTGCATATGCACTTTGGTTATTAGTTAAAAATTATATTCGACTGTTAAAACTTCATTGATATATTGGATGATCAAATGTCGCCAAATGCATATAAATGAATAGTGACAAACCTAAAACAATTAGAAGCCAAACAGAAATTACATAATTGAATCGATGCATGCTTAATAATACAGCATGTATATAATTATAAGCAAAAATAATATTTTATATTACAAAAAGACTGTGAACCAAAAATCAATATTTTCAAATATCAAGTTTGAGCATAATATATCTTTAAATTCAATTTCACTATTGCACATACGACTACGGCAAACGCTCAAAAAGTTGTATAAACAATGTATAAGAGGTGTTTTGCCACTTGTTGGATGAGTAATAAGAGACATCTATTGCATTTTCGTCACATGTTGGCCGAATCTCCAAAAACATTCAATTGTTTTCCTCAAAATCTTCCACATACATGTCAGCCCCGGTATACGCCCCTATATAAAGGGGACGTAACTTTGTTTACCCCACGTGCCAAATAGCGGGACCATTCGGAAAATAACGGGATGTACCGACAAAGCGACACCTGCTGTCATAATATGAAAACAAAATATTACAACTCGCATTATGCTTACTGCCAACTGCTTAGTGCGTACTGTAATAATGCTATCGGTGTCATCTTCGTTGTCAATGCACACTGATCATGTCTTGCATTATATTTGTAATAAGTGAATATATTGCAGCATATGAATGCAAAGACACGTCAAATTCGCCCAAGTATTGATCAAAATCAATTATTTATTGTGAAATAGTGTCGACAATGTAAGTGGCAGATTTATAGCAAATTAAAGGTACTTTCAGGAACTTACCATTTTACATCTAGTTATATCAAGAGCAAGCAAAGAATGTTATCTTAAACACCGAACATTATACGCTGTCCTTAAAAAAGATGCAATTAAACAAATAGCATATTAAAATATGTGAGTTTAATGGTTCAGAAAGGAACACATGAAGTTGCGATTAAATGATAGTGCATTCAGTAATCATAATGCATGACTGTATTCAGCAATACGTAGGTTTCCGTTGTGGAAGCAAGCGTAATGTAAGTTCAAATATCATCAAGCAAGATGGAATAAATGCACTAATTCTGTTCCATAGTCCATTGACTGGAGATTATATACTATTAGGTAATTTTGGACTCGTTTTTCCTGTTTTTAGACTATTTTGAGCAGGTTAAAAGTGACAGCTTCGGAAAAATCCGTGAAAATGTCTGTTTTTTTGTTCAAAATATCTCAAGTTTTAACTAAATGGCAGGATTTCGTGTTATTAATATAGACGTTCATCAATTGGGGTCACGCAAGCCAAATATCTACAAATTTTTCTAGAGAACAAATTATTATTATTATTCATTATATAACTGTTCTAACTTAATCACAAAGAACTTTATCAATATTAAAGAATATCCAAATGACACTTTTTTATTAGTTTTTTTATCAATATTAATTTTGAAAAACTTATGGAAACTGTTGCCATCCACTCTAACAACTCATAAAGCGATGCTAGATGTCTTCGTTTTTAGTTAAGGTATGTTCACTTTCATTAGATTGCCGTTACGATTACATCGTCGATCGTCGATGTAGCCCATTATTCAAATATCAACAAAAACCTTGGGATACTTTCTAATTATGACAAGGTAAAGTTGTGATTCTGAAAGTTATATTTGAAAGAAATTTCAGGATTTCGACTGCGAGACTGACCGATTTTACATTTACAAATGTCGGTATTTGAAGGGCGACCATCATGTTTGTAATAAAAATCCCTGGCGCACAATTTGTTTGGTCATCTTGGAACTTAAATGCTTCTTTTTAACTTTTGTCAAATACGGAATATATATTTAAAGCACTGCAGTTGCAATAATAATATTGTTGTAAAGAAAACAGAGACTACATGTATAAAGAGCGTTTCTCTAAACCGAATAAACCTCTACTTCACAAAGGCACAGGAAGTCACTCGCATTGTGAATGATCTTAAGGAACTTTCCTGTCACGTGATTAGCGCATGGGATTTTTACTGGTAGAGCCGGCGATGCTGGGGGTCCGGTGTAGTTTGCGCAGTCAGAACCAATATTGTTGTCCGAATCTTGTCGAGTTGACGAAATCAGCAGCCGCAAATTTGAATTTCTGTGGTCTAAAACAGAGAACAGAGAGGAATATCATAATGTTCGATAAAATTAAAAAGAATTAAAGAAAAAAAGAACGCAAACACATTCTATAACAACAATCTGTATTATTAACAAATGCCAATACATATACAATTCACAATATCAATACCACGCCAAACCGGATATCTGTTAAAACCAGGCAAATACTCACAAAATAAAGCAAGATTTCCCTACTATTTACTATTTACATTTGGTTTAGATTGGCCGATCCTTTTCCGTATTTCTAATATTTGAACAGGTAAACATAATGAATGTATAGGAGATAAGGTACATAACAAACATCAAGATGTCAACCAAAGACTGATTTTTCATAACGTTCAAAATATGATTTGTATCAAAATACGATATAATTTCAAACGGCAATTTACACGAATCTATGTATCATTGAACACAGATCAAATAAAAAGACCATTATATTTGAATTGATTTCTCTTTCACTTGTAAAATCTGAATGAATGGAAAGTTTCAAGGTATATTTAAATATTTCACATCTGAAAGTATGACTAAAAGCGTATGGTGGTAATACTATATAATTATACACTATTAAAATGTAGAAAAAGTCTATTTAAAAAAATGAATACATTGAATAATCCCACTACAGTATATCCTTAGAATATACTAATTTTCATTGTGTGTGCGTGCGCGCGCATGTGCATTAGTGCGTGTGCGCGCGCGTGCATGATTGCGTGTGTTCTTGTTCTAGCTCCTCAAACATGATGTAGGGCCAACGATAATATTGTTAGAACTTTTGGTCCAACCATTTTGTATGTACACTTAATGATTATGTATGTGAAACTGCATAGTGTGTGACTTTTTTTACAAAAGAATATCATTAAATTAAACATCATCATGGCAAGTTATTGCCTTGACATGTACAGTACCGTAATTCAGCATTTAGAGAGGCAATTTTTTTCAATATATAAAAAGTATAATATAATAATCCTAAACTCCTATCGTTCATTGTTCAACCACTCTTTTATACACAATGTGATTAATATTTCAAGGTGCAAGCGACAATGTACTAAAAGGTCATGACGATATATATTGTTTTTCTATATTTCTAATTTATTCTCTTTTGTGCATAATTGGATTATAGCCGTCCGGTTTTTTATTCAAAATATTAAGAAGTTTGTTTACATATAGGCCTTATACTGTTGAAACGGACGTATCATTGACGTCACTAGGCACTCTCGGCCGACTACAATTAAAAACCAAGTATGTACGATTGGCAGCCACCGTCCAAAAGGATAAAGCAGACAAAAAGGGGATAAAATAAGGCCAAATTATAGTCTTACTGTTTTATTTTACTTACTGATACCCAAGGCATTTCTAAAGAAGATGATAACATGGGACACTTCAGCAACGCGCTTAAATTCCATTCCCCAATACGAGTAACCACTAGCTGTGTGGGCACAGTACAATTCATCATTCACTTGATTGTTGTCGCGGTTGCCGTCCGTGGCGTAGCTAGCTGTTAGAGGTCCATTCACGTGCACGAATGTTGACTGCTGCCATTCGTCAATTGCTGGAACATAACGATCTGAAACAAAAGCAAGAAAATGGACCTGAATACTAGCATTTTCAATTCCTTTTGTAGCTCTAACTATTTAGATCTTAACTCAAATCAAATATGATTTTTAAATTTACAGGTTCCTAGTCGCAGAAAAGAAATAAAAAATGATAATAAAGAGAAAAAAGGAATATAAATGGTAAAAGGAAAAAAATCCGTCAACGACTAAAGAAACAATAAACAACATTTATGAGAAATGTCTGAAGAAAAAAGTGGAATTGAATACTAGTATTCAATGTGAAACAGTATCATCGCAATTCAGATGAATTTTACATAAATAGTAAAAGAAAATGGTACTTGAGAAAACACTTTGACCATTGGAAAACATATTTCGACTGTTCAAAAGTCAAAGTAGAGCAAATTCTTTAAAAACATCATCAGGATTAAGTGATATTGTTCTTTCAGGTCTTGATCGGGTAAAATGGTGTCGCTGTGAAACCCATAGCAATTCTGGAGAAGAACAGCGGAAATGAGAAACATTGCTAAGGCTTAATGGATATGTGTCTAAATTGTAGTAACAATAATTAAATACTAATGTATTTTTTGTATGTCTCACAGTAAAGTTTGATATTTTTTACTGTAGTGCTCTACATGTTTTTTATACATAAGATTAATGGAAATCACATTAAAAAAGTACAGAACACAACTAAAGAAAGAATTTCATCCACCAGATTATACAGTTTTATTAATGTATATGAAAAAGTAAATAAAGAAACTGGTCATAAAAAAGAAAGAAAAGAAAAGAAGTAAGTAGTCCCCACTCTATAAACCGAGTAAACCTCTACTTCACAAAGGCAAAGTTGGTAATTTAAGTTGCATGGATGATCTTCAGAAACTTTCCTGTCATGTGTTTAGTGCATGGGATCTTTACAGGTAAAGACGGCGATGCTGGGGGTCCGACGTAGTATGCGCAGTCAGATCCAATATTGTTGTCTGCATCTTGTCGGGAAGATTTTTAAATAAGTGGATTTTAATTTACAATAATTCATATGGCGACTTCCCAGCTTTACTGATGGAAAGACTTTGTCCCTCCGCGTACATTCTTTTCAACCTATATCTAATCACCGACCGTCCTTTTCCTCATGTGAAAGAATCCACAGTCTGACGGGATTTGAACCCACATCATTGACAGGAAAGTGATTTGAAACCGGTAACATTAGTCCCCCTGTTCTGAATAGCAGACACTTATACACATAACTATTAGTTTTGTATAAAATATTTGCTTGAAAATGCTCACAGCGGCGACATAAAAAACTATGTCTCTTATAAATCATGATCAGTACACCATTAGACAATCAACTATGGTTATCTCGATATCGCTTCTCTCGATATTTCGTTATCTGGGTTAAATCTTGAAAGTCCAGATTTTTTACATTCTTTACCTAAATTAGATATATTTGTTTATCTCGAAATTTTTATTTCGATAATTTCAGCATCTCGAGATACAATTTCAGCCCAACCGTAATTTTTTTACACTGTTATTCTTTTTTAATTTTTATCTTTACGTTTATTTCAATATTTTTTGACGGATTCGATGACTTCGAGATAACGATTGTCGACTGTATATAATAATTCAAAGGATACGTACCATCATAATAAACGTTCCAATTGGATTCGGCTCCTGTTGAAGGTGTCACCACCCCAGGAACGTATGTTGTTAGTTCGCAAACGCCCGTGCCCGCATTGTGGTTAACAGACGTACATTCATCCGCACCATTACATAATATCAAACATTGTATTATTCTAGTGTTTAAATGTTGCACTAAATTATCATTATACCGTGCATTACTCGACGAGAGAGTAAACTGAGTGAACTTGCTGGTAAGGACTGTTTTAAATACAAAAATTGTGATAAATTGAAGGATCCAAATCCACTTCTTCTCTTTAAACCAATGCATTGTATCGTTTTGAAATTCAATGCTCTTTATAACTAATTCTTCTGCATCGAGATCCTCCCTTCAACTGCAATAATTTCTTCTTTCAAACACAAAAAGTAACGCACTGTATTTAAAATCATGTACGTGTAACGAAATTTCCCAAATAAGAACGAAATTCTAATTTCAACTGAAAAAGTCCATTTCTTAGTGAAATATATAGCATAAATAATTACACCATACAACTTCGATTATTCGAATGTAACTAGATACTATTGTTATCCGATTCTATTTATTCGATACCAGCCTGACTTTAATTCACAATTAATATCCAACGACAAAAAGTATCCGCTTCAAGTGTTTACATTTCAGTTTATTTTTAATTTAAATTTCATTTGACGAGGCAGCAATTTAAATAAAACTTTGGATCATACTTCAAATTGCAGAATGATGTTAACATTTAATTTCCATTTGTCACAATATGTATTGTCTAAGGACGCAAGCAATTGTCTTTTCCCACTAGTTTACAAAGTTATTTCTTAGTATTCCTTGCTTCACGTGACTCCGTTTGTGATGGCAAAATGCATCCTCTGAATCATACAGGCATGAAGATTCTTAACAGTTTATTTCAAATACCAACAAATACCAATTACAGCATATGAATAATATATTTACGCTCATGTCCGAAGATTACATTTTCAGGATGGCCTGTAATATTTTCATGTCAGTTTCATACATATTGCTTTTGTGTTCCGCCATATCAAACATTTTGAAGTCATCTAGCTGTTAATCTCCTCCCTTGGGGCTTGACAGAGATCTTTATCGGCCAATATGCTTAAAACGATATATTAGATTGACTTTTTACCTTCAAATCTTTAAGCAAGATAGGCGGCTAGTAGATGCCTTATGCAGAAAAACTTTAGTACCTCAAAATGATAACCTTTGTTTTTTTACGCAAAAATTCAAAGGCACTGAAAAGCAATTCAGACAGACAGAATGTTTTACAAATTTTACGTTGAACGAATTGCATTGAGATATCTGTTTTTTTTCTTCTTCTGAAAACTTGACTTTTTAACTTCGTTTTCAAAGTATCTTCTTTTTATATAAATGTCATAGAATCAAAATGAATCGTGTTTAACAATGATCAACATCCAAGAATGTTCAATATCTATTCATAAATCGTCATTGAATATCATCCACACAATTTTTTTTTTACAAGATACTTACATACAACACAATACAATATAATATTTCTTTATTTAGTCAAGGTTATATATAATGTAACAACAGAAATTTTCAAAAAATATCATTATTAAACATATGTGGTTGTATTAAACAATTTAAATAATACTAGACATGCAAAATATAATTAATTCAAAACATCAGTTAATAAGAACAGCGTGTCTAATTTTATACATGGTTTGACTAAATATCATTTACGAGGGGAATAGTGTAAAACTGAGGATTTTTGCCTGTACAAATATGTGCCAAACATGTATTTAGAATTATAATACAATTCTATTTCCCACAACTAATGAATAATGACATCTAGCAGTTCCTTATTATTTAAATTGGAGATATTAAAACAAGCAAATAAAAATCTGAAAAAGTGATCCCTCGGAAGCATTAATCATAACATAATTACTTGAAAATTGCAATCTTGGTTTGATTAAGTCTGTACATGAGGGATAATGAATAAATGCAACATCCCTCACGCCCTCTAGCACCCATCGGAAGCATTAACCACAACAAAATTACTTGAAAATTGCAGACTCGGTTTGATTGAGTCTGTACATGAGGGAAGGGATAATGAATAAGTGCAACATTCCTTACGCCCCCTAGCACCGGCTTGAGCGGTGCTCAATTCTCAACACTTAATAGTGCTGGCATCAATGATTCCACAGGGCCAGAAAAATATAACAACACTGAAGTGAAATACGGAGCAACTTTTTACAGCTGCCACAAAGCACTTGACACCTGCTGTTGTAAAGTTTATAAATCTGGAAACAAAGTGATCCCTCGGAAGCATTAATCACAACAAATTTACTTGAAAATTGCAGACTCGGTTTGGTTGAGTCTGTACATGAGGGATAATGAATAAGTGCAATATCCCTAAGCTATGTTTGCACTGTTGAGGAAAATTAAATAGTAAGCTTTACCATTTGATTTACAAATTGAACTGTTTGAAAAGACAATTAAACCAATTTTGTTATATGGAAGTGAAATTTTGGGATTTGGCTACGCTTCTGTTTTAGAAAAAGTTCAACTGAAGTTTAACAAATATATTTTTAACTTTAAAATGTCTACCCTGTCTTATACAATGTACGGAGAGACATGCATTTTGTCTTTAAAATTCATATAAAAAGTAAGGTTGTATCATATTGGACAAGATTTATTGATAATATAAATAGTAACGAGCCAACAAAAACTCACATCAAAGTTGTATATTGTTTTGAGGGAACTACACAATGAGAATTTAGTTAAGTCACTCTGGAAAGAAAATTTTAAACACTATTTATGTGAGACAGTTTTTTTCTGGAGTATGGTATACTCAATGATTTAGCAGTAGTAAATGGCTTATTAAAGAAAATTTTTAAATGTTAAAAGATATTTATATTCCAGGCTGGATTGCTGAATCAATAATACATATTACCGGTATTCAGTTTGTATAAATATATAAAAGATAACCTTTGTAGAAGTGTGTACATAGACAAGTTACCTCTGCATTTTGTTAGGATTGTTTAATGTTTTTTAAACATTTAATGTTTTTTAAACAAGGAACTAACGACTACCAATTGAAACGGGACTTTTGCAAAACATACCAGTAAACGTTCGTAAATGCACTCTGTGCAATAGAGATGTAGGATATGAATTCCATTACATTTTTAAATGTCCAATATTTGAAAACGAAAGAAGAAAATATTTAAATAATTTTTACAGGGACAGACCAAGTTTGTTTAAATTTAAAGAATTATTAACCTGTAGAACTATGAAGAAATTAGTAAATTTAATTATCTTTTGTAATAAAATTATGCAATATTTTGTTGTTTTTTTTCTTGATAATTCTCTATGTTACATAATAAATTATATTGTTTATGTTATGTACATTGTAGATTAATGTATTGAATGATGAAACATATAAAATATATATGTATTAGATATTAATGATTCCTGTTTAAAAAACAGAATATTCTCTATTAATCTATATTCACATAGTTCACATAGGATATTTAAGAAAGGGTCAGTGAAACTTTTTTTGTCAAATTGTGACATATTAAAGATACAGCATTTCTAGAAATTTTAGAATGTTTACTATGCTTCTTAAATACAATATACAATACACAACAGTTAATAAATATATCTATTGCATTATTTGCATTTTCCTGTTTTTTAATGAAAGAGTTAAACTTCTATTGTTAAATAATGCAACCTTTTAACAAATTAATATATATTGATTAAAATATATCATAATACTTTTTTGGCATTTGAATTATTTGAATGACAATTTGTGCCTATGTTAAAGGTTCATGATATAAGCTCTTTCTCTTTCATGAAAATGTTGAAATTATGCAACATGTAATCACTTCTGTTAAAATATAAAAAGTAGAATATCTTAAGATATTTACAACACTTCTATTTTGACATTTGAAATAATATGTCTTTAGGCTATATGCATGCACATTTTCTTTTTCTTACATGCAAATCCAAGATGCAAATATGAAACTTTATTGTTTATCATAAACATCTTGAATATTATGGAATTAAATAAATACTGAATTGAAATTAATTTGATAAAACGTGTATATGACCTGGATAATCTTTCTTTTCGTTTGTGTTTATGCTTTCGTTTCGTTTTGTTAAGGTTATTATGAAAGGTGTTAACATTCGATTTGATCTATTTATCATACTAAATATGAGGACTTTATATTTATACTTTTTCTCTCACTGTTGTAACTTTATAAAATTATCATCATAAGAATATAGCCGTTTTCAATTATGTATTTGTATATATTTATGCATGTATACTGTTGATGTTTCTCGCTATTGTGGGACTTATGCATTTTGTAAATAAATTGTGAAAATTGCAAAGACACGATCCATCGTTTTAAAGCCATGTTTGTGTTGTACGACTATTTCGTAGTAATCATGTCATTCTATGAAATTTTCAGTCATAAAGATGCGCAGTTTTGTCGGAAGCGTTGACCAATCAGAGTTAAGTATATCTGGCGAGTTGTGATGACAAGATATTTAATCTAAATGAAAAGTAACATATTGATTCAAATTATAAGAAACAAACATACATAAAGATTTCAAGGTAGCATAGTCGGTACTGTTAAACAATTCATTATACTTAATAACATTTAAAGATGTTTATAATAATATTCTGGAATACATTTTTTCCGTATGACAGGACATAATTGCGTGGAATTCTTTTCCTCTTCGCTGATACGCTCGTTGTATGGAGTATTGTTATATCTTAGCATTTCTACCGGAAGTCAGTGGGGTGCAATATTGGGGATGTGCCCTCTTCTGCTAGAAGTTTGAAGGAGGGGGTGGCGGGGGTTACCGCCCCCACAACGCTACGAAAATTCCGGACTTGTGAGAGGGCAAAAATGGCCTCAGGTTAATCTTAAGGTGATGTTGTACAAGCACTGGAAAGCATTTGACTCTATATCATTCCAATGAGAAGTTGCAGCACTTTGAAATCAGTTTAAAAAGGGAAAAAAATCAACGTAAAATAGTGATGAGTTTTGGCAATTTTGAGATGTTCCCTCGTTGTCATGATATCAAGAAATTTCAGATTGAGCATGCTGTTACAAATGCTATGGTCCAGTAAACATTTGTGCCAAGTTTGATTAGTATAAAAGCATTTTAATAGTTTCACAGCAATTTGAATTTGTAACTTGCTTTTCGATAAAAACAGGCATTTGTCACAAATGCTCATAGAGTAATGGGCTAAGAAGCGAAATGTACACGTTTCTTGGTTATATCGTAAAATAGTCTTCTCTATTATGTTCTCATTTATACAGATAATATAGTTTTCCTTAATTTGTTTGAGGCTTGTAATTTTCCATTCCAATCGGTTATAAATTGATCTACCAGCACTTGCTTTATTAGACAGTGGATTTTTTTCATGGTGATATCTTCTTGGTTCAAGAAGGGGAAAATCAGTATTATGTAAAATATCTCTTACTGAATCAAGTCCTCTGTATCAAACTTTATCATCTGTAAAAATTCGATATTATTCGATAAGTGTTTATCTTTTTACTCCTAATATTACAGTTCTCTTGTCGGTTCTTTACGGTTCTTGTCAGTAAAAAGGAAGACAATTTTTTGTTTGTTCTAACTGTATTTTATTGTAAAATATTGCATCTGGTGTCGACTCGGGGAAACATATTTTCACCCGACACAGAAACAATGCCCCCTTTTTGTTAAGCTTGAATAAGATAAGTAATGTTTCTGGCAGTTTTTTTTTCGATATTTTTCGTCATCACTTTCTGTCTTTATCATAAAATATAACATTAAAAATTAATACCGCAAGTGCATTTAAGGAACAAGATTGATACAGAATTAAAAAAATGAATAAATTGATAAGTTTTACCTGTTGCAAATTCAAGTAATGTAAAGTAAAAGATAATTGTCATATTTATATCGGCCACTTTGGACGTAATCTTGGATTTCTCAGTCCAATTTAGTAATCTACGGACCTAACCTAATGTTTTTATAATGTATATAAAACCCCTTTAAAACAATTTACATTTAGTTTATTCATTACGTCAGAACATATGATCACTGTCTGGTACTGTAAGAACGTAATGAATTTTTTTTTCGAAAAAAAAATGAATTATTTAAAACTGTTCAATAATTATCATATGACCCATTACAAGACCATTTTATTTGACTCCTCTTTTCTTGAGATCTATATCAGATGTTCATGAAGTCATGGGTGATATAAAATGTTCAAAAGACTTTCTCCAGGTCTGCTATGCGCCTAAGATGATTATAAAAATTCTTTAACTAATTAATTGATAGTTCCCAAAGAATTGACAATTGTCTTTGGCTTGGGGAGGCAATTGCTACATGAAAGACTGTGTTTAAATGATAACGTATATTTTTCGCACAACGTTAATGAAGTTACCTGCGAGAGCAAAATAAAAACCAAGATTAACGGTGTAAATTACAGCTCGGTACATATAACTGTGGTCTACTCGTCACTTTTGAAATTTAAATTAGGTCAAGTCATTCATATTGGTTTTTGAGTGAAATCAGAGGTCCCTTTTATTCGACAAATAAAAAACGAAAGAATAATTAATGGGATATTTTCATTGCAGAAATTTATTTCAAAATTTTATTATACATCAGTTTTTAATTGATATTTGTCTAACTAATATGAAATGTAAAATATTTTCCCCATTTATTTCTTTCAATATCTGCTCACGGAAAAGTCTGATATAGTCATATCCACTTTTGTGCACTAAATGATATTGGATTTCATAGTTTTCATATTTTTAAACGTAAAATGAAAAACTGTTAGAAGAACTTCAACAGACTCAGTTTTACTGATGTAATAGAAACTTTTTATTTAAAGTAAAGTAGATAGCCAGAAGTGTTTCCCTAAACCGAGTAAACCTCTACTTCACAAAGACCAAGGAGCTCATCTGCGTTGTGGATGATCTTCAGAAACTTTCCTGTCACGTGCTGAGCACATGGGATCTTTACAGGTAAAGACGGCGATGCTGGAGGTCCGGCGTAGTATGCGCAGTCAGTTCCGATATTGTTGTCTGCATCTTGTCGGGTGGGGGAAATCAGTAACCGCAAATTCGAGTTCCTGTTATCTACAAAATAGAGAAATAAAAAACAAAGATTTTACATATATTTTGTAATGAAAACTTAACTGGGCATATATAGACTAAAATTAGCAATTTTGTTTATTAAAGATCACAAACAAAAAACTGCTTACTGACTTGTGAGGAATTCCTAAAAAAGATGATAACATGGGCCACTTCTGCAAAACGCTCAAATTCCATTCCCCAATAAGAATAGCTACTTGTAGTATGAGCACAGTCTAATTCATTCGTCACCTTATTTTTGTCGCCGCGGTTGCCATCTGTTGCTAAGCTTGCTGCAAGCTGTACATCCCAGTGCACGTATGTAGATTGCTGCCACGCGTCAACAGCAGGAACAAAACGATCTGGTAAAAAACAAAACTAACAACTTGAACACAGTTTTTTAATTCGGTTAGAATGAACATGTTTCAAAAACAATAGTGTTTAGAATAAGAATATACAACGTTGTTTGAAACTAAAACATTCGAGGCAAGCAATGTTTCATAAACTTAACAAAACAAATGAAATATCACCTTTTGGTCTTTGATGTTTGCCAGAGAGGATCACAAGACTTGAAGTAATCTATATTCAAAAGGAGGATAGGCATTTAAGTTGGGTTTCTTTTCAGACAGAGTGATGAGTCACATGATTCTTTCGTCGAGCTGTTTAGGTGATTTTCGCTAAATAAAATCAACGTTAGATGATATCAAAATTTGAGACTTGTTCGTCATATTAGCCAAAGTCCATGACCCTACTTTACCTCCCGCCACAGTAATTGCTTCGCAAAGAATATTTTTATTTGTTTGTTTAAATTAGTGGATTTAAATTAACACCGACAAAATGTTCATAAGGCGAGTTTTCAGCTTTCCTGACGGAAAAAGACTTTGTCCCTCCTATGCATTTTTACAAGCTGACACCCGAATTAAAACACCGACCATCCCTTTCCTCATATAAAAGAATCAAAAGTCTTTGACGAAATTTGAACCCACAGCATTGATTTGAAGTTGACAACATTTGTCACTCGGTCACTGAGTCCCCCGTATTGTGATATTATTTAAAGAATCAGTAAGATTGGCAAGTTTTTATTAAATGTTAACAGTATTTTGCAATGATACCAAAACATAACATGAAAGTCCTTGCAATACGACAAGGTTTGCAAACTGGAATAGTAGACACCATATAATACTCATAACTGTACGATTTGTATTCAATATGCGTGAAACCTTTACCTTAAAAAACTGGCAATGGCAACATAGACAAATATAAATAACTGTGTCTCTCTATAAATCATAAGCTGTATACCATATTGATTTTAATGATGCAAAGGACGTGTACCATCATAATAAATGTTCCAGTTGGATTCGGCAACTGTTGAAGGTGTCACCACCCCAGGAACGTATGTTGTCAGTTCGCAAACGCCTGTGTCCGCATTGTGGTTAACAGACGTACATTCATCCTCACCATTACATAATCTCGCACATTGTATTATGCTAGTGTTTAAATGTTGCACTAAATTATCACTGTACCGTGCATTACTCGACGAGAGAGTAAACTGAGTGAACTTGCTGGTAAGGACTGTTTTAAATACATGTACAAAAATTGTGACACATTCAAGGATCCAAATCCACTTCTTCTCTTTAAACCAATGCATTGTATCGTTTTAAATTCAATGTTCCTTACATTAAATGTAATTATTTTGCATCACAATCCTTACTTGAAATTCAATAAAAAAATGAAATCTTTCTTTAAATGCAATGACACAATCCTTTCCCTATTTGCAATAATTACTACAATCCTTTCTTCTTAAATAACAATGTTTAAGGCATTCCTTTATTCAAATGCAATAAATAATGCTTTTCTTCATTCTCATAAAATAAAGGTTTGATAAGTTAAAAGTATGATAAAGTTAAAGTCTAAACAGCTCAAAGTCTGAATAGTATCTGCAGGGTTTTTCAAATTGAAATACCTTGGTGTCTGATTTGCTTAATTTTGTATAAGCTTGAGTCATAATCATAAAATTCCGATTATTCATTTGTAATTAGATACTATTGTTATTCTATGCTATTTATTTGATATCACTTACAAAAAAGGTAGCAGATTCTGGTATTGCGATATGAAAATTATCATATTTCACTCGTGGGTACCGCCACTTATAAAATATTTATTTTTTCGATAATAATAAATCATATATTTATAGAAAAAAAATCTTGAATATCCTCTACTGAATATCATCTACATAAATCCTGCATTAACATATACTTAAAAGTAATTTATATTGATTAATTTTTTCATTTTTTTAATATTACAGTTCTTGTCTGTTCTTTACGAAAAATATCAAGACCAAGCATTCGGAACAATAGTTTATTGTGTCGATGAATTCTGAATTATCAAATTTGTTATCTTTATAGCCTGATTTACATAATAATACATTTTGCTTTCAAAATCAAAAGAATCTAATGCAATAAATCCAAATCACCCCGGTTTCAATGTAATATTAATTATTTGTTTGAATACTAAGTAAAGTTCTCATTTCTCCAAGGTCCGACAAAACCATTTGCTTTGACAACCAAACCAAAAGAAATTAATATCAATATTTTTGAGTCGAATCGCATTCTAACTTTAGAGCATAAAAATCTACACATTTTATGAAATCATTTGTCATCAAAGAAACATTTATTTGAGGACTTTACAATGAAGAACTCATGAAGTGATGCGCCCGAAATCTGTATTTGGTAAACATTTTTTTGTTCTAACTGAATTTCATTGGAAAATTACTGAATCTGGTGTTCACTTGGGGAAAAATATTTCCTTCTGACACTGAAACATTACCCCCCTTTTGTTTCGCTTCATTCACTTTTCTACAACAAACATATAATCTCTAATGCAACTTGGTATATATGGATGCGGTCTAATTTCAAATAGGTCAAGTAGTACTCCAATGGACGATTCCGATTATTTCCGCCTATCGCGCAATCCCTATTGATTGTTGCTATGCCTCACAAGCCTGCATCAAAAATGGCAGCCATATCAACAACAACCGGCTTGTTTTTGCCAAAAAAGGCGGGGACTAAGAAAGACAAGATGACGTCCAAGATGGCCGTCAAAAATAAGAAAATTACCATTTATTACTTTTTCCTTAACTTTCTCAGCTTAATCATTTAAACATTGTAGATTTTTAACATTTTGATTAACAAATGTATTCCTTAATTGTAGTTTTAGTATCTATTAATGATGTCAGTAGATCTTTTATGATTAAAACAGATAATTATTATGAATATTAAATATTTAGAAAAGTCGCTGTTTTTAAAGATGTCTTATTTTTCTTGCAGTTCAATACTGATTTTTGTTTTTATGACTGCTTTACAAGAATCAATATTTTACATTCAAAATGTGCCAATGAAAGTCGTCAATTAAGTATAATTTTTAGGATAATATTTTTTAAGTAGGTGGGGTAAAATGATAAATTTATTTAAATTTCCAAATACCACAAAGTTCTTTATTTTTACTACTTAAAAACATTATCTTGCGTATTACATATTTCAAATCATTTAAGAATAGACAATTCAGTAATTGTGAAATATGAGGATAATATAAGTTTTTCTTCAATTTAAAATCATTCAATGTTTTAACAGTCAATTTTTAACCGTACTCTGTCTTTTCCCTGAAGAAATTTATACATATAAAATCTTTGTGGCATATTTCATTAGTAAATATATAAAACGCAATATTAAGAATTAAGCTTTTTATTCGAAGACCTGTTCTACTGAAAATATCCTTTAAGTATATAACTGAGCCGCTAAATGTCGCAACCTCCGTTAAATGTCGTGAAATTGTCTAGCGAGAAATCTCACAATAGTTGTGTTAAATGTCGCACGATTTTCTCAGGCTGTTTAATGTCGCAACACTACCGTTTAAAGTCGCAAGATGTACATTTATGATGAAATCAAAAAAATGTTCGTATATTTTAGTACCTTTGGGAGCGAGCTATTTGCCGGCTCAAGATAAAAATGGTTTTAAAGTAGATTAGTTTACAATGGGCACATTTTCAAAACATATTTCAAATATTCATGAAAAAAAAAATAGAAACATATTCTTACATAAAGTTTATTGAACAAAATATGTTTATGTAGTTCTACATGATTAAATATGATAAATAACTAATGTTCAATTCTAGAATATCTTATTATCAATATCCCAAACGATATGTGTCTTCCTCCACACGTAAAGCTTGAAAGTAGCTATATGACTTTACTGTGTTGGTGTTACGTTTTAATGTCTTAAACTAATTAGGAATATGCATGTCTTAATCAGAATAGAGCGAAATAAAGAATCCCTAAAGAAAGCCCAACCAGACAAAATTGAAAATGTTGCAGGCTCGGTTTGATTGAGCCTGTTCATGTACGGTAATGTAAAGTGCATGTTACCGTCTAAGAAGTCAAAGTTTTAAAATGATTAGGAGATATAGAATTCTTATTTGTTCTTTGGATACAAACATGATTAGTTCAAATCACGTTTTTCTTTTATATTTAGGTTTTTGGAGCTCCTATTGAAATAGTTCAACAGTTCTAAAAGTAGTTTCATATCTCCTAATTACACTTTTAAAAATCCTTGCAAAGAGTTCCAAAGTTGTAATTGTTGGCGCCCTCAAAATTCGAAGGCAAAGACCCGATAAGTGAGCATGCCTACACGAAATCACGATACAAATTTAGGCTAAATACTTTCATAGGCGAAGAAACGAGATCTGCTTTGTCGGGGCCCTGTATGTGTTGTGCCGTCGTGTCTTTGCCTCAAATTGCAAGATCATTGGCCAGTTTATTTTTAATAGTCTTTTACTTTTGGAGTGAATCAGGACGACTCGAAAAATTGGCTTGATATCGTAGTTCGAATCCATGATGTCTGGGTTGCTAAATAAAAAAAAATATATTAAAAATACATATGCATTTAATCACCATGCGACTCTTTGTCATACATTATGATCGTTATTGTTTAAAAACCGACTAAGATGACTTCAATTGTCACGAATTATTTTGTATCACAGCAACTCCTTTCCTATCTTATAGATAGCTAGTTCCCAGATCACTTACATTTTAACTTTTCATGGCCATTAATGTCAATTTATCCTTAACTATTTTCTAACAGAAGCATATGAATTAAAATTTCATCCCCATAGGCGAACATAAATCATCGTTAGGCACACAGTTTCATTCTAAAATGTGCCGAAATGATGACATTTTAAACATGCAACTCATCTTGTATAACCTCCGCCCCGAGCATGGAACACCAGTCTGATATGCAAGAAATATACATTTGTATTTGATCAAACGATGCAAAGAATCATATTTAAGTGTTTTAAATTCTAATCATACTTAAATTCTCCCCATAGCATTGACTATTCAGCAATTACCCGGAAATTTGTTATATGAAATAATTAAGTATTTTAAGTAGTCAAAAATATAGCAATATTATGTAACCTGTAGTATTTTGAAATTTATATAAAATCATCATTTTTTTCCATATTTAAAACACACATTATCCATTCTCCAGATATATAATAAGATGAAAGTTTTAAATGTCAGTTTTTGCATGTAAAAAAAGTTTTTTCGTTAAAAAAAACTCATTAATTTCAAAAAATTATAAATTTGGAAGAACAATTAAAAAAATGTTTCAGCTTTTTAAAAATTTTTTTTTAAAATTTTTTTTTCAGTCTCTCTTTTTTATCATTAAAATATAATTCTTTAAAAAAAATTTTCAAAAATTTAGATTGAAACAAGAATGAAAAAATGAAAGAAAAAATATGGAAAGATAGTTTCATATTTTTGTCGGCCATCTTAGACACAATCTTGAATAATTACGTCACATAATATAATGACCGGTACCATAAAAACGAAATGAATTGTTTTCCGAAAATATCTAATTATTTACCATTGTTCTGTATTTAAAATATGAGCCGTCGTTTAAATTCTTTCATATGTCGTCTTATTTCTAAAATTTGATAACAGAGCTGTCCCTTTAAATCCAATGTCGAATGAAAATGTTTAAGTGACTTTGTCAAGGTCAGTTTTAAAAGCGCCTTGGATGATTTCAAAAAATAATTGATAGTTCCCAAAGAATCGATAATTGTATTTTGCTCGACAAAGTACTTGTTCCATTAAAGACTTCGTTAAAATTATAACGTGTAACTCGTCATATATTCTTCTTACAACTTTGATAAAGTTTCCTGAAGTCGACAAAAGAAAAAGATCACTGGCGAGCAAAATGAAAACAAAGATTAACGGTGTAAAGTGCAGCTCGGTATATAAAATTTGGTCTCATCGTCACTTTTGAGTTTTAAATTAGGCCTAGGTCATTTATAATGATTTTTGCGTGAAATCAGAGGTCCCTTTTATTCGACTAATAAAAACTAAAGAATAATTAATGGGATATTTTTATTGCAGAAGTTTATTTCAAAATTTTATTATACAGCAAATTGATTGGATATTTGTCTAACTAATATGAAATGTAGAATATTTTCCCCATTTATTTCTTTCAATATCTTCCCACGGAAAAGTCTGATATAGTCATATCCACTTTATAGCTCTAAATGATATTTGATTTCATATTTTTCATACTTTCAAACGTAAAATGAAAACTGTAAGAATAAATTTAACAGTTTTACTGATGTAATAGAAATATTCTATTTAAAGTAATAGTGATTAGCCGGAATTGTTTCTCTAAACCGAGTAAACCTCTACTTCACAAAGGGTAAGGTAGTCATCCCGATTGTGGATGATCTTCAAATACTTTCCTGTCACGTGCTGAGCACATGGGATCTTTACAGGTAAATACGGCGATGCTGGGGGTCCGACGTAGTGTGCGCAGTCAGTTCCGATCTTGTCGGGTAGGGGAAATCAGTAACCTCAAATTCGAATTCCTGTTGTCTACAAAATATAAACAAAAATGTTAAAATAAAAACAGATATAACAGACAACTTACTTATATTTCATTATGAAAATCTGCAGGGAAAGAAGCAGAGGTAAACACTGGCAGAAAGGTCGGGGATTTCAATTATACTATTAACCAAAATTTGAATAGCAAAAAACAGCGCAACCGTAATACACCTTAAACAAAAAAAACAAACAAAAAACTTTGAGTACATATTGTATTTGTTTATACATTTGTATTACTGCTCGATGTAAAGTAGCAACTTGTAAGTTATATGTATAAAAAAGTAGCAGAATGCAAATGTTTAAAACCATTGACACTTAAAGGTACATTAAGTCTCATAAATGAAGATATTGTTTTCATCTTTAAAAAGGGCAAACATGTGTTTATACTGTTTAATATTGGATCTTAGGCTACTTAAATACAACTGAATTTCTCAAGTAGCAAAGGATGGTTCACATGTTGAAAATTGTAACAAAAAATCTGGAGACAAAGTGACAAAACATCAAAGACTAAAATGTTTTATGAAATAAAATAATATCATTTTGTGGCTTAATGAAATTTAAATAGATTTCTGTTTGATTTTTGTTATATTTTTATGTAACAAAAATTAAAAAAAAATAATTTTTTTTTATTTTTTTTTATGTATGGATATAATATTACATGAATAATAAGATTTAACATAAATTAGCTCAAATCAATGCGACTAGCACCTTTGATTTTAGTTTCATACCATCACGGTTAGAATATACCCGTATTGTTGATGACATTATTACAAGCACTTCCATATGAACAAACTTTACAATATATTATAATTATTAGGAGCATAGCATACTGGGTACCTTATAAAGCTGACATTTACTTAAATACTTGATTTTACTTTGAGAATAAGTAAGCGTTAAACGAAAAAACACCAAACAGCCGGATGCATTCTAAAATCAAATCGTATTACAAAAATTTCTCTCTTTGGGTTGCCAAGAGAATTTGTGATGCAGACCAAATGAACAAATATGTAATTAAACATGAAAATATACGATGTTGATTTGATCCTGTGCTTAAAAAAACGTTGGTCTAGTGTGTGTTCGTCAGACCTCCATATTTGTAATATCAATCCCCTAATAGGTTTACAAATTCACATGTTCATGATTATAACCAAAGCATCTGCCAACTTCAACTGAATGGTAAAAATCTTCTTACTGACAATCGATTCATTCCTAAAAAAAGATGATAACATGGGACACTTCTGCAAAACGCTCATATTCCATTCCCCAATACGAATAGCTACTTTTAGTATGAGCACAGTATTTTTCATCCTCCCCCTTAATGATGATGTCGCGTTTGCCATCTATTGCAAAGCTTGCTGCAAGTGGTCCATACTTGTAGACGTATGTAGATTGCTGCCACGCGTCAACAGCAGGAACAAAACGATCTGGTAAAAACAAAACTAACAACTTAAACATATTTTTTAAATTCGGTTATAATGAACAGTTTTCAAAAACAATGATGTTCAAATTTAAAATATACGACGTTGTTGGAAACTTAAACATTGTGGCAAGGAATGTTCCATAAACTTAACAAAAAATGAAAGACCACCCTTCGTTCTAGGATATTTTCCAAAGAGGATCACAAGACTTGGAGTAATCTATATTCAAGAGGAATTAAGCATTCAAGTTGTTTTTTGTTTTCAGACAGGGTGATGAGTCATATGATTTTTTCGTCGAGCTGTTTAGGTGATTTCCGCTAAATAAAATTAACGTAAGTAGATATCAAAATTTCAGTTTTGTTCGTCATATAACCCAAATTTCACGACCCTACTTTTCCTCCCTTCACAGTAATTGTTTCGCTAAAGAATTTTATTTGTTTGTTTGTTTAAATTAGCGGATTTAAATTCACACCGACAAAGAGTTCATATGGCGAGTTTTCAGCTTTACTGAATGAAAAAGACTTCGACCCTCCGATGCATTTTTTACAAGCTGATACCGAAATGAATCACCGAACGTCCATTACCTCATATGAAAGAATCCAAAGTCTTTGACGGGATTTGAACCAACAACATTAATAGAACAGTGATTTGAAGTTGACAAAATTTGTCACTCGGTCACGGGTCCCCCGTATTGTAATATAATTTACATTAATCAGAAAGATTGTATTGGCTGTTACTAGTATATTGACAAATATAAAAAAAACTATGTCTCTCTATAAATTATAATCAGTATAACATAACATAACAAGAAAAGCATTGATGCAAAGCATCAAAGGGCGTCCAAACAGCAGGTGCAGATGAACTAGTAGATATATGATGACAAGATATTCTTATAAACTTTTCAATGGTTCATTGGGTTTTACCAGAATTGTATATCACTTTTGAATGAACGGACGAAAGACATTGTTCATTATTTATAACTTTGATCGGCATGCTAGAAATTAGAATATTACTTGTTATTTCTTTATGATCGTGGTTATTAATAGCAACGGATATACATGTATACAATCATTTATAATCCAAATGTGTAACGCATGATCAACACCATACTTGTGTAATTGTCCCTTATTATGTTATCGCTATTAGCGAGGACCCCCTCTTAAGGTATCTGTTCACACTAAGTAACAATATGACACTTGTTATATTACCATGTTGATCATGTTGAGCATAATTGTTTATTATACAATAAATGTAATTTCTATTTTAATAAAAAAAATACAGATTTTATGAATATTGTTTTCTTTTCTTTTTTTGTGTGTGTTTTATGCGCTATTTTAATACTGAGTTTTTACGTTTACTACTATTTTAAGAATTCAATTGTCATAATGATCGACGATTATAAGTCAAAACTTAACTGGAAAAAGTCAGTAAATCATGGTTAATCTTTCAATATATAATATTGTTTATTCTTAAACATATACATTTGTATTTTTCTTTATCATTTTTTAAATTATTAATCAATTGAATAATTCATAAAATCTGATTTGTAACTTTGAACAATTCCTCGGCATCTTTACTAAACACGAACAACAAATAAAATAAAATGTTTTAAAGTTGATAGTGTCATATTAATGCCATAAAAATGTACATTTTTTCTCAATTATTGTACATATTTATTGTTTTTATCTCATATAGATAAAATATAACATGCGATTTGTGTTGTTGGTTTTTTTTTCGAATTGTATGTTTATGTATAATAATAATCAATCAATTCGAGAGTTGATCTGTGTTTATTAATTATTGTAACCAAACTAAGTGACAAACATTCATTTTGAAAAAAAGCTTATTTATCTGTAAAATATTTGTTCTGTTCTGTAACGATATCAAACATCTACTCCAAAACCGGGAGAGACCGGACAATAAACGTGGGGTACTATTCGCCGGTCATTAGTAAATACCGGGAGAGACCGGGAATTACCGACAGGAGTACATCCCTCTATAAATAGATTTTCGGAATATTTAGGTCATCAACTCATCATTCTATTAACAGCTTTCGGATTAACATACCATAATAACCCACTGTGTACTACAAAATGATAAGCAAAAATACCCCGAAGAGCGCGATTTATTGACGGAAAAGGTTATTTCATTTGAAAATGTTTGCATTGCGAAATTCTCCAGTTCGCCATTCATTGTACATATCGCGACTAATTAATAATCAAGCACCCTCATACCGATCGGAATGATCGGCTTTTATTATTGGCAACTATAAAAGGCTCGAGAAGTTGCTGTCGCCCTTTCACAAAATCTCATTTCATTCCAATAGGCGCCGCGCTTCGGCGCGGACGCCAATGATTCAAAGGACTGTACCATCATAATAAATGTTCCAGTTAGATTCGGCTACTGTTGAAGGTGTCACTACCCCAGGAACGAATGTTGTTAGTTCGCAAACGCCCGTGTCCGCATTGTGGTTTACAGAGGTACAGTCATCCACACCATTACATACTATCACACATTGTATTATGCCAGTGTTTAAATGTTGCACTAAAGTATCACTATACCGTGCATTACTCGACGAGAGAGTAAACTGAGTGAACTTGCTGGTAAGGACTGTTTTTAATACAAAAATTGTGACACATTCAAGGATCCAAATCCACTTCTTCTCTTTAAACCAATGCATTTTATTGTTTGTTTTAAATTCAATGTTCCTTACATTAAATGTAATTATTTTGCATCACATTTCTTACTTCTAATGCAGTAAAAATGCAATTATTTCTTTAAATGCAATGGCTTAATCCTTTCCTTAAATGCAATATGAACGCAATCCTTTCTTCTTCAATTATTTTACAATTTATTACAAGGCACTCCTTCTTTAACTTCAATAAATAACGTTGTCCTTCCTTCTTATAAAATAAAGTTTGATAAGTTAAAAGTATGATAAGGGTTAAGTCTAAACAGCACAAAGTCTGAATGGTATCTGCAGAGTTTTTCAAATTGAAATACCCTAGTGTCGGAGTAGCTTGATTTTTTATAAGCTTGAATCATAATCATAAAATTCCGATTATTCATATGTAATTAGTTACTATTGTTATTCTATTCTATTTATTCGTATTTCACTCGTGGGCACCGCAACTTAACAAATGTTTATTTTTTCGATAATAATGAATTATGTATTTATAATAATTATAATAAAAAAACTAAATATCCTCTGGTGAATATCAGCTACATAAATCATGTATTAACATATACTTAAAAAGTAATTTAAATGCAATAAATGTTTTATCTTTTTAATATAACAGTTCTTATCGGTTCTTTACGTTTCTCGATAAATAGGAAGTCCTGCATTCGTAAATGGTTTTATTGTGTTGATGAATTCTGAATTATTAAACTTGTTATCTATACAGCTTGTTTAAAGTTGTTTTACATAATAATACACTATGCGTTAAAAATTAATAGAATCTCATGCAATAAATTACACCGGTTTCAATTTAATATTAATTATTATTTCTCATTACTCCAAGGTCCGACAAAACCATTTGTGGTGACAACCAAAACTAAAGAATAAATATAATTGTATTTTCACTGTGTTTGTTGACAGTTTGATATAACTGAAACAAGTGAAATCGCATACCAATTTTAAAACACAAAATCTACACATTTAATGAAATTATTTGTCATCAAAGAAATTTATTTGAGGACTTTACAATGAAGAACTCATGAAATGGTGCGCCAGAAATCTGTAATTGGTAAACTTTTTATTTGTTCTAACTGAATTTCATTGAAAAAATACTGCATCTGGTGGGAAAATATTTCCTTCCGACACTGAAACAATGGCCCCTTTTTGTTTAGCTTCATTCATTTTTCTACATCAAACATATGATCTCTAATAAAACTTGATATATATGGATGGGATCTAAATTCAAATTAGGTCAAGTAGTTCTCCAATAAACGGTTCCGATTATTTCCGCCTATCGCGCAATCCGAGTTGATTGTTTCTATGCCTCACAAGCCTGCATCCAAAATGGCAGCCATATCATCAACCGACTCGTTTTTAGGCGATTTAGATGTCCCGGATCATAAACAAGGGGTTCCAGATACCAAAATGTTCGGTTGGGTCAACAGATTACGACATTGGATTTCAATTTTGCCTAAAAGGTGGGGAATAAGAAATACAAGATTGCGTCCAAGATGGACGTCAAAAATAAAAAAAAAGTACCATTAATTATTTTTCCTTAAATTTCTCAGCTAAATCTTTTAAACATAGTTGACTTTTGACATTTTGATATTAAATTTATTCCTTAAATGTAGTTTTAGTATCTATTAGTAATGTTAGTAGATCTTTTATGATAAAAACAGGTAATTATTATGAATATTAAATATTTCAAAAATTGCTGTTTAAATAGACGATGTCCTTTACATTTTCTTCATTTTCTTGCAGTTTGATAATGATTTGTGATTTTATGACTGCATTACAAGAACAACCTTCTACATACAAAATGTGCAAATGAAAGTTATCAATTAAGTATAAGTTTTAGGATTATGTAATTTTCAGTGGGTAGGGTACGGTGATAAGTTTATTTTAAATTATTTAGATTTCAAAATACCACAGAGTATTTTTTTATACTACTTAAAACATTATCCTTTTTCTTATTACATATTTCAGAGTCATTGCAGCATAGAAAATGCATTTATTTTGAAATATGAGGAGAATATAAGTTTTTCTTCAATTTAAAACCATTTAATGTTTTAACATTCAATGTTTACTTCTTTTCCCTGAAAATTTTTATACATATAAAATCTTTGTGGAATATTTCATAAGTAAATATATAAAACGCAATATTAAGAATTAAGCTTGTCGCACGATTTTCTCTTGTTCTTAAATATCGCAACAATACCGTATAATGCTGCAAGATGTATACTTATGATAAAATTAAGAATGTTCGTATATTTCTAGTTACTTTAGACCGATCTATCTGTCGACTCAAGATGAACAGTGGTTTTTAAAGTGGATTGGTCTACAAGGGGCACATTTTCAAAACATATTTCACATATTCATGAAAAAAAATAGAAACGTATTCTTAACAAAAAGTTTATTGAACAAAATTTGTCAATGTAATTCTATATGATTTAATATGATATTTATATGGTAAATAACTAATGTTTAATTTTATAATACATGTAGCTTATTATCAATTTCCACATACGAAAAGTAAATTGTTGAAAATTCAAAAATTTCAAGTTGATAACAATTTCAAGAGTTTATTGTTTTGTTATTGTAATAGTTTTATATTATATTCGTAATAATGCTGTGAACAAATGACCAAGTTTTTTATACAGATGGAAGTCAGTATTGTGATATGTATCACATCGCAACATAAGAATTGCAATATGCATCACATTTTATCAAAGTATGCAATACATATCGTGAATCGCATCGTTTGGAAATACAAGTATCGTGATATGTATCGTGACAGAAAAGTGGCAATGCACAGCCCTAATTAGAAGAAATAAATGACTAGAAGTTCAAATCACGTTCATTACAAGACTATGTTAAAATGATAACGTGTAATTTGTCAAAACATTGATGAAAAAAAAAACGAAACAAAGTGATCCTCGAAAGCATTAATCACAACAAAATAACAAGAGAATTGCAGACTCGGTTTGATTGAGTCTGTACATGAGGGATAATGAATACGTGCAACATTAATTTCCTGAAGTTGGCAAAAGAAAATGTCACTCGCGAGCAAAATGAAAACAACGATTAACGGTATAAATTACAGCTCGGTACATAAAATTGTTGGTCTACTCGTCACTTTTGATATTAAAATTAGGGGTCAAGGTCATTCATAATGATTTTGCGTAAATCAGATGTCACTTTTATTCGACAAATAAAAACGAAAAAATAATTAAAAGGGATATTTTCATTGCAGAAATTTATTTCAAAATATATAATACAGAATATTGATGTAATATTTGTGTTACTAATATGAAATGTAGGATATTTACCCCATTTATTTCTTTCAATATCTGCTCACGGAAAAGTCTGATATAGTCATTTTTACTTTAGTGCTGTAAATGATATTGGATTTCATATTTTTCATATTTTCAAACGTAAAATAAAAACTGTTAGAAGAAATTCAACAGTTTTACTTATGTAAAAGAAACTTTTGTAACTTTTATAACTTTTTTAAAATTTATAGTGGATAGCCAGAAGTGTTTCTCTAAACCGAGTAAACTTCTACTTCACAAAGGGTAAGAAAGTCAGCCTGGTTGTGGATGATCTTCAGAAACTTTCCCGTCACGTGCTGAGCACATGGGATCTTTACAGGTAAAGACGGCGATGCTGGGGGTCCGGCGTAGTATGCGCAGTTAGTTCCGATATTGTTGTCTGAATCTTGTCGGGTAGGGGAAATCAGTAACTGCAAATTCGAATTCCTGTTGTCTACAAAATATACACAAAAGGTGTTAAAATCAAAACAGATATAACAAACAACTTACTTATATTTCATTAAGAAAAATCTGCTCGGGAAGAAGCAGAGGTAAACACTGTCAAAAAAGTCAGGAAATTTCAATAATCTTGACTAAAATTTAAATGGTGCAAAACAGCACAATCGTGTGTGCAATACGTCTTAAACAATACAAAAAACTTTGAGTGCATATTGTTTTTATTTTATTTCTGCTTGATGTTAAGTAGCAGCTTGTAAGGTATAAAAAATAAAAGTACCAGAATATAACTGTTTAAAACCATTTCAAGCTTCTGTTAACACTTATGGGTACATTTAGCATCATAAATGAAGATATTGTTTTCTTCTTTAAAAAAGGCAAACATGTGGCTTATATATTGTTTAATATTGGATTTAGAGCCTCTTAAATACAACTGAATTACTTAAGTGTAAATTAGCAAAAGAAGTTTAACTATATGCTCAACTTGTTGGAAACTGTAACAAAACATCAAAGACTTAAATGTTTTTATGAAATAAAAATAATATTATTTTGGGCTTAATGTATGTTAAGGGTAAATGGAGATAAACATCTTATCAAGTATAACAAGTTTTCTTTCCGGCAACTCATTACACTATACCTTTAATACTCATATTTGTTTCTTGAAGGAATGTATATATTTTAGTTACATACTAGTACTTTGCACGGCTAGGTTATACTCGTATTATTATGGACATTATTACAAGAACTTTCGTATGAACAACCTTTACAATATATTATAATTATTAGGAGCATACTGGGTACCCTTATAAAGTTGAAGTTTACTTAAATACTTGACTCTACTTTGAGAAAAAACTAAGCATCAAATGAAAAAAGCACCAAACAGCCGGTTGTATTCTAAAATCAAATCGTATTTTAAAACAAAATAACTACAAAGAAAACAAAATAACTATAAAGAATTTAAAAATATACATATTCATAAATTATAACCATGACATCAGCCAACTTCAGCAGAATGTTATAAATCTTCTTACTGATTTCCGAAAAGTTTCTGAAGAAGATGATAACATGGGACACTTTGGCAACGCGCTCAAATTCCATTCCCGAATACGAATAATTATTAGCTGTGTGAGCACAGTACAATAAACCATCTGCTTGATCGTTGTTGTCACGGTTCCCATCCGTGGCTAAGCTAGCTGCAAGAGGTCTAGCATTGTGCACGTGTGTTGATTCCTGCCACTCGTCAACAGCACGCACGATGCGATCTGTAATGACATACTTGTTATCCAGTATAGTATATACAGTTTTCAATGACAACAATGTATATATTTTTAAGATTGTACGGCGTTGTTGGAAACTAAAACCAGTAAGATTGGCTGCAAGCAATGTCACATATACTGAACAGAAAACTGATCATTACTATACAAAATGAATTTGTACAGTTACAATTGAGAATTACAAGAACAACATAGTCAATGTACATTGATAAATGAAGTTTATAATATCAATACCGTAGCACTGCCGTTACTGAAAAGGCCATGTTTTTTAAAATAGTGTATTGTTTGTTTTTAACATTTAGACAAATTAGTAAGTGCTCGTTATGAATGAAAAAACACATAGGGATAACTGTAACTATCTTGTAGTTATAAACCAGTTATTAGGCCCGATTGTTGAAGTGTATGGGGATATTTAATTGCTGTCTGTAGTTTACAAATTATTGTTTGAAAAAGAATACCGGTAAAATACTTTTAGAAAATACAAATAAATATTGTGGTGCGTATTCATGCTAAGAAGCAAATGATGTATACACCAAATCACGGCTATGTGGTTTTAACCGTACTGAAAATAGCAGAATTATGTTGTTTTATATATAATAAAAAAGAATCATAAGATATATCTTTATACCCAATAGATTAATTTTGATATGAAATGTAGACGATTTTACAATTGACTTACATTAACTCATTGTGATTTCAAACAAACTGACGAAATATTTCAAGAATTCCATCCTTCCTAGTAACAGTTCCTCTCTCTGTTGGTTTAAACATATTTATTGCATATATTTTAATCATACATTATACAAACATTCAGTTTCATAACCATACTAACATAATACACGCAAAGGATTTTGACGGAAGCACTAGGTGCTTATTAAAGTCAATCTCCATTATTGATAAATTTACAATAAAACTAATACATGGCTTGTAGATCTATGAGCAAGTAAAAAGCATATAAAAATGTGTACCACAACCGCTTCTATTGATTGTATACAAAATATTTTTGAAAAAAATACACAAAACTAGGTTATGTGGTAAGGCTCTTGCATTATTTGTAATTGATAGATATTTTAATATAATATATTAATAGAAAAAAAAAATAAAATAAAAAATCTCTGTTAATTGTCAGTTCACTTCATTTACAAAAAAAGACGGACTTGTCTATCAAGTAACTTAATACAGTTGTAGCTGACTGTCATAATTTTTTTTATAAACATTGATTACGGCACGAATTATGAATTCCATTAGTACTATAAACATAAATTTTGATAGAGTGCTACTTTGCCATATCATTTTCCTGATTGTTTTTGTTAGACAAGAAGTGGCGTTCTTTATAACATTCACTCCAAATTAGAAACTTTAAGAGTATACTGTTTGTCTTTCAAATTTTACTAAGCGTCTTTACGACTGAAATCATTTTACTAATATTTCTTTTCTTCTTCTTGGAAATTGAACTTTATGAAAATAAAGGTGATAGCATTCGGGTCGGGGTGGGGATTGGGAGGGGGACACATTATGCCCCGGAAATGCATGTGTTTTTTCTTTTAATTTCTTTAAATGTAAAACATGTGTTAAATAATGTTTAAATAATGGATAAAGTGTATGTTAGATGTTTTAAAAAGCTGAAAAATATTAGCGCTGAACATAAACTGATGTGTCGTAAAGAAGCAAAATGTAAAGAAAATTCTGGAAACAAAGTGATCCCTCGGAAGCATTAATCACAACAAAATTACATAAGAATTGCAGACTGAGATAATGAATAAGTACAATAGTCTTTTAACTGCCATACAAAATTCTTATTCACTATAATTCTACCAATTGCCAACAGAACGAACTAAAGATGCAAAGGATAGTTTGAATATCTAGCAAATGAGTATGTTTTTGGAAACTGTTACAAGATCTCAAAAATAAACAGATTTTCTTGGGCATAATTGACCTTATAATAGTATACCGCAAAGCTTTCAACGACTTTGACGAGAGTCTTTATATTTTAGACTTGGTCAGCAAATAGGTTATGCATGTTCTTTTTATGAACATACATTATTTTAATATACCCTTTAATAAACGATTCGTATCAAGCGAGTAATTAAAAACCCGTAACGAAAGACATTGCTAAAGAAAAAACAATTCTAAAATACCCTGTCTCTTTTTAAATTATTATCGGTACATAATCTAATTATCTAAAGAACACGTACCATCATAATAAACTTTCCAGTTGATGTCGGTTTCTGTTGAAGGTGTCACCAATCCATGAATGTATGTTGTCAGTTCACAAACGCGCGTGTCCGAATTGTAGTTGACAGACGTACAGTCCTCTACGTTATCACATAAGAACGAACATTGTATTATGTCAGTGTTTAAATGTTGTACTAAAATATCAGAATACCGTGCATTATTCGACGAGAGAGTAAACTGAGTGAATATGTGAGAAAGGACAGTTTTAAATGACATAAATACAAAAATTGTGACACATTCGAACATCAAAATCCTCTTCTTTTCATGTAACAGTGTCATTTTTAAAAATGTCATTTTAAAGGCAAATTACAATTAGTCGCACCATATTTCTGTCCGGTACTCTAAGAACGAAATGAATTATTTTACGAAAAGATGAATTATTTAAACTTGTTCTGTAATTATAATATGACCCGCCGCAAGAACCATTTTATTTTAATCCCTTCATAAATCTAATTATTTCTGGAAGATAATTATTCAGAGCTGTTCCTACCAGATGCTCATCAAAATCCAATGTCGAATAAAATGTGCAAGTGACTTTCTCAAGGTCAGTATTAAAAGCGCCTCAAGGTCTCAAACCCTTTTAGATGATTTCAAAAAATAATTTATTAATTAAATAATAATTGATAAGGCCCAAAGAATCTATAATTGCCTTTTACTAAGCGATGCAAATGTTCCACGAAAGACTGCGTTAAATTGATAACGTATAACCCGTCACGTATCCTTCTTACAACGTTGAGGCAAAGGCAAAGGGAAAGCTCCCTCGAGAGTCATAAAAACAAAGATTAACAGTTCAAATTGCAATCTGACTCGATTTAATTGAAAAAACTTGACAAAATGATAATTATTTATACTGTAAAATGAGAGAATATGCTATATTGTAAAACTTCAGTTTGATAATAATGGCTGTCATCTCTTTTCAGGCTTATTTACAGTGGCATTTGGAACACCTGTTATCTAAAACAATATAGACTTACTTGCAAAAGAGGCACTGTCATTAAATCATACATCACATAAGTTTAATGCACTGCATATTTTATGAAAGGTACAATGAAACATATTGTGTTATTTTCAATTGATGATTTTTGGCAGTCACCTCTGCGAATTCAAAATAGCGCGGATATTAGTATATACCCCCAAAATAGACCTCTCCGCGAAAATTTGCTTCTGAGAATTCAAATTACAAATACAATATTTTCTTTTTATAATCATAAGAATGGATTTGTAATATCAAAATTACATTATTATCGTTTGTTACGAATCTAAAGTTATTAAAAGTCATTGCCACTGGGTTTCCGTTCTTTCAGAAACGTTTTAATATAACATTCATCATTGAATCTTTGCAAGAATTTTTATATGGCATTGTGTTTGTTTGTTTGATTGGGTAATATGTCACACCGACACAGTACAATTCATATGGCAACGTTCAAGCTTTACTGGTGGAGGAAGACCTCAGGTGCCCTTCTGCGCATTATTCAAGGCACGAACGGACACCTAAGAAGAACCACCAACGTTCCGTAAGCCAGCTGGATAGCTTCCTCACATAAAAGAATCCAAATTACCTATCGTGATTCGAACCCAACAGCTATGAGTGGCAAGTGTGTTTGAAGTAAACGACCTAAGCCACTCGGCCACGGACATCCAATATGGCATAATGAAAAATAAACAATATGTATTTTCCACACACCCTTCGAGATAGATAGATAGATAGATAGATAGATAGATAGATAGATAGATAGATAGATAGATAGATAGATAGATAGATAGATAGATAGATAGATAGATAGATAGATAGATAGATAGATATGAAGGGCACTGCTTATTAACAATTTTAAAAACATGATTAATACGTAATTGATTATTTCTGTTTCCTACATTAAATATAGACATTAGCAAGAATAACATTTTTCTAGATTCCATACCGTGTATAAATCTAACAATTTTATTTTGACAAATTTGAAGCTTACTTTAAAAACACTTGTTCAGACTGGGGTACCATGAAGAACATGGATAATCGACACTATATTAATGCTGAGCATAAATATGTTCTAGTCCTAAAATCTAAAACATTGCTTGCCTATACAAAACTTTAGACGCGAATTCACTCACCTTTTTTTTTTGATTACTATGAACAACAGATTCACCTGACAAAAAATCATCAATATTTAAACAGTACTGGTAAACTGCTTGACAGCCTGACCAGGAACGATGCAGTGGCTGAACTGTGCTCTGATAAATTCAATGTGGCTTTCTACCTTGATCTGGATTTAAAACTACCAATACAACTGATACCAATGTCTTGGGCTAGTGCCGGCTGACTTTGGTCTACACTGGTCGCATTAGTAGAATATGCTGCTGCCAGCAGGCGCATTCTTAGATATAATATAAATAAGGCAAGCCTCAAAGCGAGCTTTTTGACAGTATTTATAATATATAACACTAGAGGCTATATTGTATATGTATAGTTATTAAACCCGCCCGCGATTGTAGACTCTCGGTTGGAATCACTACTACAGGTTACTCGTACACATTATTGTCACCTTTTGAGATACGACCGTTTCATGTTTTGTTTTGTTAACACTTGAATTCATTCGTCGCAGAACATAAATTCACTGAGAATCAAATTTCGGAATGATTAATCCATTTCGGGAACAGGATATCGCGAGACGGAAACCTATATCAAAAGTTAATATTGACTCAGCGTCTATTTCTATTTATTCTATGTTTTACAAAATGTATGAAATATTGTTCTGTATACTTGAATCAGTCACAATTTACATATATTACTGCCGTATGTTTATTAAACGATCGAGAACGCACTAAGTCCCATTTCGGGAAAAGTATTTTTCCCGAAACTTCGCAGTAGTATAGATGGTAATTGGCAAGGTGTTTCAAATGTTAATTTTGCATGTGAACCACACTGAGACTGGGAACTAGATAGTACTGATTTCTGGCTGCTTCTTGGATAATAAAGTAGGGAACCTGAGTGTACAGGGTACCAAAATAACCCCGAATGAAGAGCAGGCAAACAAATTACCCATATTTTTGTTAAACTTCCCGCAAAAGATTTCAAAATCATTACTTTTGAAGACACATTCGCTATTGCAATGCTCGCTTTGGTCTGCTGTTCGGAATCGAAAAAAGTAGTTATAACAATAATAAAATGGGGAAGTCAATGGCCGGGTCCGCTTACACGGCCTTTGGCTTGCCCGGCTGGAGACCGCGTGCTTTTAAAAGGAAACCAAATAAAAAAAAACAAATTAAAAATATATGGATTTCTATACCTATCAGTGAAATTTTCAGTGTCATGTCCAGTTTGGCGCCGCCATTTTCAATGTAAATCAACGATAATAGGAGTATTCCGATAACGGAACAAACGCAACTTTCGGCTTAATAACAATTGTCGAGGTGTTCTAAGAGAAAAAGGAAGCGGTGCTTGAAATAAAGAATGCCACGTACAAAACGGAAAATGTAAAGTAAAGAATGAACAACTTCCCACCTGATTTCATATCAATAATAATGTATATATTTTCATATTTCTCACTGATAAGTTTGATAATTTTTTTTACTGTATTGCTCTACATGGCTTTTATACATAAGATTAGTGGAAATCACATTAACACGCGCCGGACTAAATCTAAGGATTGGTGACGGCATGCATGGTTCAAACCCTGTCAGGGGCAAGCCGTTGATACATTGAGCAAGAACATTTACATTTATTGCTTACTACTGGCTGGTTTCAAGAACGGATTCGAGAGTGTTTCTTAAACTTATAGCTTCAAACACAATCGAACTAAAATTAATTTGTATAAAAAAAAGTACAGAACGCAACTAAAGCCGGATTCTACAGTTTTACTAATGTTTATGATAAAGAAACATAGAAACTGCTCATGAAAAGAAAGAACAGAAAAAGTCAATAGCTTTTCTCCTCTAAACCGAGTAATCCTCTTTTTCACAAAGGCAGCGGATGTCATTAAGGTTGTGGATTATCTTCAGAAACTTTCCTGTCACGTGTTGAAAGCATGGGATCAGGTAGAGACGGCGATGCTGGGGTCCGGCGTAGTATGCGCAGTCAGTTCCGATATTGTTGTCTGCATCTTGTCGGGTGGGGGAAATCAGTAACCGCAAATTCGAATTCCTGATGTCTACAAAAAAGAGAAATAAATCACAAATATCTTACACATATTTTGTAATGAAAATTTAACAGGGCAAATACAGATCAATATTACCAATTTTATTTATGAAAGATCATCACCATAAAACTACTTACTGAGTTGTGAGGAATTCCTAAAAATGATGATAACATGAGACACTTCTGCAAAACGCCCAAATTCCATTCCCCAATAAGAATAGCCACTTGCAGTATGAGCACAGTATATTTCATAAGTCACCTTATTTTTGTCGTCGCGGTTACCACGCGTCAAAAGCAGGCATAAAACGATCTGGTACAAAAAACATAAACACACTTTTTAATTCGGTTAGAATAAACATTATTCAATTACAACAATGTTAAATTTAAAATATACATCGTTGTTGGAAACTAAAACGTTTATATAAACCTAACAAAAAATGGAAGACTACCCTTGATTCTACGATATTTTCAAGAGAGGATCACAGAATTTTGACCAAGGGTAAAATTTATATTCAACATCAGCTTTAGTATTTTAGTTCTTTTTTTCAGACAGGATAATGAGCCACATTTATTATTTCTTTAGGTAATTTTCAATAAATAAAATCAACGTCAAAATCTGAGACTTGTTCGACATATAAGCCATATAAGATGACTTCGAACTAACGAGAGTCGACTGTAAATAATAATTCAAAGGATACGCACCATCATAATAAACGTTCCAATAAGATTCGGCTACTGTTGAATGTGTCACCACCCCAGGAACATATGTTGTTAGTTCGCAAAGCCCGTGTCCGCATTGTGGTTAACAGATGTACAGTCATCCGCGTGTCTGTTCCCATTAAATTTACAAAGTTATTTCTCAGTATTCCTTGCTTCATGTGACTTCCGTTTGTAATCGCAAAATGCTTCCTCTAAATTACAAAATAATGAAGATTCTAAACAGATTTTTTCAAATGTCATTACAGCATATAAATAATACATTTACAATAAGAAGGTGAAGTAGCGAATTCAGGTCCGGACTTTAGTGCTGCAGCCCCGAGCTCAGGTCCAAAGATTATACTTTTAAGCTTAGCTGTAATATTTTTAAGTGTCAAGTTGAGCTGAAATTATTAAATATTTTAAAAGGTTTACCTTTGAAATGATCAACCAACATTTGATATTGAAAAAAATGAGATAGAATACCAATCTGCCTAAATTATAAAAAGACTGCCCCACTCTTTTTATATTAGAATGTAACAGGTAAATTCTGATGAATATTCACAAAAATGAAATTGTGTCATGTGAGTTATTGATCATAAATGCGAAGTAAATTTAGAATTGAAAGGAATTATTCGAAATGTAAACTTATTTTGACTTTCATGTCCTTACTCAGTATATACACTTGGATCTTTAATGTCAGTTTCATACTTATTGTTTTTGCGTACCGCTTTATCAAACATTTAATTGAAGTCATCTAGCTGTTAATCTCCTCCCTTGGACATGGCCGAGTGACTCGATTTGATTGAAAACACTTGACAGAATGATATTTATTTATACTGTAAAATGAGAGAATGTGTTATATTATAAAACTTCAGTTTAATAATAATGGTTATCATCATTTTTCCGGTCTATTTATTGTGGCATTTCAAACACCCGTAATCTGCAACGTCGATATAGACTTTCTTGTAATTTTCTGGGTAGTGCATGCGAATTGTCCGTTTGTTCCAGACACCCTGGTTCTTTTACATATCTGATGTACCGCTACGATCAATGTAATCACTGTTTTATAGGTATAATTATCGGTAGGGCCATTTGAATTGCCCCCCGTATAATCATAAAATCAATATTGCGGGAGTCTTTGCTTTAATCTCAAACAGTAACCCAATAAAATAAATTCGTTTTTCTCACCTCTCAAAGTGACATAATTTTTAAATTTGCCTAATCGATTTGCTCTGCTTTAAATATTGGCCAGTCGATACAAACTTAAAAAAAAGAAAAAGAAAAAAGAAAACAAACAAAAAACCAGCAAAAAATAAACAAAACAAACAAACAAACAAACAAACAAACAAGAACTGAGCTTTCAAGATAATAGCGCCGGTATGTATTTTAGGCTTTATTCGGGCCAATCCGCCTTTTTAGGCACTGGGTTACGGACTCCGATAAAAGAGCCGGATCAGACTAGAATCTTTGATGTGCATATTGGCCTTGATATATACCAGTGGCAAGGAATAATCGTTTACGGTTCCAGCAAGTTAAAGATTAATCTGAAATAGGAAAAAAATTTAACGTAATTCAGTGTTGGAGAAGGAGTACCTCTAGACACTTGCAGAAATCATGTTCACACAGTAGTAGCATATCGCTTTTGTGATGATTCTTACATTTTTCATGATTTTATATAATTTCGTATGCAGATATAAATAAGACTTCCTAAATTGTATTTCGGCGGGTGTAAAAGGTGAGATTCGTTCAAGCGCCTTGTTTGGTATATACTTAAAAACGGTATTTAGTCTGATGCCACAAAACCTTCTTTTTAAGTCCCACTCATAGGACAAAGGAACCTTGAATCCCTATTTCCCTCATAAAAATCATGTTCTAACTTACGCTCCACTACTCTTCGCTACGCAGATTATTGGATCAAAAACCTAGAAATGATTTTAAATGGATTTAATGAGACTGAGTAATTTATTCGTGAAAGAGAGTAGTTACAATTATGAAGATGTCACGATTTCTAATAATTCTATTTGCGTTAAAGATAATAAATTTTTGGCGACCTCTTTCATCCGCTCTCTTCTCTTTCTGCTATAAGTTACCTTGATTTTTTTCTTTTCCTTTCTGTGTTTACCTGTTTAGTTTATTCAACAAACGAACATACTCAGTTATGTACATTTGTACTTTTAATCTATCTTCATTTAATTAATACATGATTCTATTTATAAATTCATTGTATTACATTTTTTATCTTTTTTAAATGTTTATAAATATGTTTTCTATCTTTTAAGTTATAATTTTGATTCAGCTTCTCTCATTCCCTCGGTATGTGCACGTCGTTGAAGCAGAGACAACGGCAAAGAAATTGGAGATTGGTCTTAATTCGTTTTACAAAAGACCCTGACCAACTGCCAAGCTTTGTTCCTGTACACGGTGGGCGGAGTAGAGTCGAGTTAAGCCTATTCCACACTCTTCGATTTAGCTTCCGATGTCCTGACTGAAGCCGAGGAGAATGGCCCTGAGGATGGTATTAGTTGTGTGAAAGTGCATGA